ACCGCTATTATCTGTAGTTATGTATACGGTATTTTCAATCGTTTTCTTTTCTAAAATCGTTTTGGCAGACCAACGGATTATTAATTTTCGCAACGACCAGAACAACCGAGTGCATAGAAGCAGTTGCGAATTTTATTTGGCGATCATTACGCCATTTATATTTTGTATACGTAACACGACAAACGAATGCCGAATTCGGAAGATATCCGGTCTGGGCGAGTCGAAACGTAGAGTAGCTGTAGTACGATACATTACGATACTACAGCAAGAAAACAATTGAAGGCGTTTTATTTACACACAACACATTTGATGGATATAATAATATAAAAAGTTTCGACAGAACTGAAGAGAGCCCAAGAAAATCTAAACTCCTTGGAAGTGGATAATCTATAATACTGGATCAATATTGTTTTCCGACTTCAATGTCATAATCCATGGAATTTTAAGGTTCCAAATTGATATCGGCATCTGTCAAATCACCGCTTATCGTAGCTTTAGCAAGAAACTGCGAAATTTTATGAATTACGACAAAACAGCCTGCAAATCAATATCGAATTGATATACACCAAGTGTGTAAATTGGAAAACTAAAAGATATTGTGATGTGCTAATAAATGCGTATAATCCAAAATTCATAGAAAACGATTTGAAAAACTTCAGTTATTGAATGAACCCAAAGCTAAAGAAACTATGGATTCCATTTCTTTATCTTATTACAATGTGTACAAGGTCAGAAACAAAAAGGGGTTGTAAATATTTCGATATAAAATAATTGATGTTGATTTTACATCAATAAAATTATTTGCAACCCTATTTTGGCTCTGATCTTTCACGGTAAACAAATTATTTTGGCATCAGTATGCCTTCTTATTATTATTATTATCACTGCTCAGCTGAGTGCAATTTTTAAAACAAATTCTTTAAATGTAACTGTTTTATACACAGCGCATTGAAGTGTATTAATATTAAGATTAAATATAAGGATGTATTTTTCGCTTGTTTGGTACAATTTATATATACAGGTACTAAGGATACTTCCTTCCTAATTTTGTCCTCACCGAATGGCTTCAAAGCAATTGTTTCTTATGTAATAATAATTTAAACTTGTGTAAGCATTCCAAGAATCTTAAGTCTAACGTAAAACCGCCATAAAGTAAGACTTTCATAGAAACGACGCAATAACATACGATTTTATAGAGTTATTGAACTGTCCTAGATCGTAAATACTATCAATTCTTATTTCATTTCAAAGTTGCATCACCTCAGGAATATGTCCTTGTCAGAACGTAAAGTCATACTGAAAAGTACTTTGCTTTTTTATTAGTTTCATTCGATTTTGTATGCATTGGACGGCGTTGGGATGGTGCATTGTGACTATCAGCGACTTTACTAAGGATGTTTTATAAAATCAGTTGACCAAATGTGTAATCTATAAGTAGCAATGCAGCTCTATCAAATCAAAAACGACTTGAGAAACTATTTCGGTGTTTTATAAAGAATCGGATTATTTTCCATGCGAGTGATGTAGAATTTCGACAAATGAATAATGAATTAAATATCAAGGTACCATCATCTATTATTAAAACTTATCTGAAAGAAAATGAAATAAAAGTTAGCGATTTTTGCTCTTTTCTTATTGAAAAGCAAAATATTCTGCATGTGATGTCGTTGCTGCGGCAATTATATCCAAGTTTCATTCACTTTTTAACGATAGCTTTGCCAAAAATTAATTAAAATTGCAGACTTCAGTCACTTTCCGGCGAGAGCACATAACGTACACCGACGCGGCGAGACGATTCAGCCTTTTTTACGGTTCACATTAAAAAGGAGACATGTCGAGGCAGAACAAGCATGATTAATTAAATAAACTTAAAGCCTGTCTAACTTTTAACACGTGGAGAACTGGATAAAAACCTTCCATGCACGCACCCCCAATACAATAGCAGGGGCGAACAAAAGAAAATAATCCTTTTTCTGAATTGAGAAAAATAAGCAATTTTTGCTTAAATTAACAACGAACAAACTCTTATTCTTGTTCATTCCTTTAGGTCAGCATAACTGAAGCCTTTTTGATATGTTGGATCATTGTTAGTGTTTTGTGAAACCCTTGGTTTATTTCAAAAGTAGTATGGTTTTAACATAAGGTTTAGAAAATAAATAATAATTAAAAGTGTCACACAAACCGTTGGAGACCGAGCGTCATTGTCTAGATGTTTGGACCATTGCTCAGAATTGGGGGGTCTGTCTGCCTTTAGGCTTCAACCTTTTTCTTTTGAAAAGCTTTGGGAAGTAATCAAATTCGTAGAAATTCACACAACTCCAACTTCCAAAATCCATTTTCCATTCTTTAGTTTTGTATGGCGTTAATTTTGATTGTTCAAAGTATGCAGTGAGTTCTAGAGATTTCCACGACACCTCAGGGTTCTGCGGAACGCAGTTTAAGAAACGCTGCTTTGGGTAAAAATGGAGAACCATGAATAATATTGTATGCTACCAATTGTTTAAGTTTGAAATCAGAAACAGTTATTATTTTATTCAATAGCTGAGATGGAGTATTATGTTGTTTATAAATTGAAGCCAGTAGAAGACGCCAGTTTCATGAAATTGTAGAATTCTCAAAAGTACCCACGTTTTATAAGAATGCCCGCTCCTGAATAGGGGCTGCGGCTGCCGCAGCTACTGTTTGCATCCCATATAACATGTCCCCAATTTGTCACAACCAGCCAGGTGCTCGTCGACGTAAAAATACCATATTATAATTTATTAAGACCCGCTTGCGGATGCATATAAATTATGAGTCTACCTCAAACAGGCCAACAGGAAAATGCAATAAAAAATGTGGAAATAAACTAGTAGCAGTGCTTTAAGGGTGATGAAGTCGAAGGAGGGGCCTAAAACATGGTTCAGGGTGGACGTGTGATTAAATGGATTGATGGTTTTCAGGTCAACTTACCTCGAAAGGACAAGCATCGCATTCATTTAAATGACGGCATAAAATTAACCATATCAGTCGTGACATTCATTTTGTAAAGAAAATGCTTACAGAAAGACTTAAGGATGTTTGGGAGGTATGTCAAAATGCTACGAGACAAATAAAAATTTGGAAGAACGTTCCTCATTCAATTCTAAAACTTCTGTAAAAGTTACAAATTGATTCACTAAACCGTTAAAAAGTTATTGGAATTTTAAAAAATTGTAATTTTACATGGAGNACAAAGCCTTTATCATCTACTATATGTATTACAAGCGCGTGGATCGGATTTCGCTTTTAAATTAACGAGGAGCAGATTTTTAATGTTTCTGTCATTAGACTCGTCATCGGCATCTTTTAACCAAAAGTATAATAAAAAACTTTAGCCAAAACATCATTAAATGAGAAGAAAAAGTTGAAGGAAGATCACGTATCAGCCAGATTTAACATTATGTAACAAAGAAGTCCTTAATATTTTGTGCACACGAATCCGCAATGAACCCAAAGTACCTCCAATAAATAATTAATGAAGAAACAATCTGTACATACTCGAACCTGTTTATTACCTACGTAAATAGATACAGATAGAAATGATAGATAATAATACAGTAGACTAATTATCGTAGTTGTAATTATGAACATGATCCACGTAGGTGTTTATTACTTTTATGCTGGTGGTCGTGGATGTAGATACGTAATTTTGTGGTTTGTATGCGGTTTTGTTAATTTGCGACATGCTTTGATTCGACGATGAAACATTTTCAACAATAACATATGTAGGTACAACAAGACGTAGGCGTTATCAAATGGACTTTTAAAACGAAAATTGCAGGTGACAAAACTGCACTATTTCAAATTGTTTTTAGGGTTCCTAACCAAAAAAATGTAAATGGAACCCTTATGAAAAGAAACAGGTGTTTGTACGTTTCTGTAATTATTTGGTAAAGCTGCCGACTTTTGCAACTTGATACAAAAAGGGCTTCATCCTTAGATAGATTGAGGGCCAAAAAGCTGGCTCTATCTCTGAATGGTAAGAAAGAAAAGGATTTTAGAAACAGATAAAAGCACCCAACTTGTTTCTGATGTTTATTTAACGGATTTCGTGAAATAAACCAAGTGTCTTTATCTCAATTTTAAATACCTCCTTGTATGAATTTCCCTGAGTACTGAAGGATTTAATGTTATATCAGCTTAACTAAAATTGTACAGAGAAGGATGGAAAAAAGGGCGGAAGAACTATTAGGGAAGATCAATTTAGGTTTAGAAGAAATGAGAAACGTGGGAGGCCATTCTACCTTTACAGGTAACAATAGCGAAAACGATAGAAAAAAGAAAGAGTACGTACATAGAATTTGTATATTTAGAATAAGTTTTTGAAAATGTTAAATGGGACAAGATGTTAAATATACTTAAAAGTGTAGGGGTGAGTTACAGAGATAGAAGAGTGATACTTAGTTTGTATAAAGAGCAACAGGCAGTTATAGAGATGGGGCTGCAACGTAAAGAAGAAAATATTAGGAAAGGAGTCAGACAGAGATGCACTCTGTTACTGCTACTTTTTAATCTACACATCGAAAACGCGATGAACATCTTTAAAGACAGTACAACTGTAGGGATATATATATACAGGGGCAAAATTTGCATATGATTTAGCAGTATTGACAAAACAGTATCTATTGTATGAAAATAAGTAAAAGTAAAACAATGAAATGAAGAGGTATTAGAAAGAATAGGAGAACAGAGGACTCTACGGAAGCCAATAAAAAATAGACGAGATAGGGTTGGTAGGACACCTTCTCAGGTATGAAGGTGTAGTCAAAGACATATTAGAGACAGTAATAGAAGTAAAGAGGAGTAGAGGTAGACCTAGATTAGATTACTATTCGCAATTAGTTAAGGACATGGGTTGTTCTAGTTTTGGGGAAATGCGAAGATTAGCTGAGGATAGGAAAGAGTGGATGTGCATGTCCAACCGGTCTTAGGACTGACGACCTTATGATGATGATGATGATGTATAAAGGATTACTTACCAGCTTCGAAGTTTTCTTTAAGTCTTCTCCATTGTTTTGCCTGATGCAACGAGTAAAGGGCGATTACTAGAAAAAACAAGATGCACGAAAAAATTGCAAGGGTGAGAGCTATGGCCTGCCAGTCCCACACTAACGTTTCTGCACTAGAAAACGCCATCTCCGTACTAGTAACAACATCAGTTTCGAACGACACTTTCTCATCGATCCGCTTATTTTTGGTATCGACCGTTTTTCCCGCCCGATCGTCATCGTCAAAATTCCAAAGGATTCTCTGTTCATGATGGTGCCGATGATGATTGTGACGGTTGTGGTGCGTTTGTTCGGGAGCGCCGGGATACAAGCTCCAGTCGAGGGTCAGCTCGTTTATCGTACCGCATATCGTGTCTCTATGCACTTCACATGGTCTTAACACCACTAAACCCTTCGCGTGATCACAGATCGTGCAATTGGCGCACCTTTGTCTTTCCGTGTCCAAAAACTGTTTGCCTTGAGGACAAATCAGGGAACGGGCCAAGCACGGGAACACTACGAATAAACATACCGTTAAGCCGAAAAACATAACCTGCGAACAAAAGAAAGGCCATTAGTTTTGTAATTAGAACTTTAAAAGATAAGGGATGAATTGTCCCCTTATAGATCTTAAGGATTGTAAATACATAATGACGTGCTTATCAAAATTTGGAGATATTAGGATACTAGTTTTAAGAATATTCGATAATTGGAACTAAATTATCAAGTAATTTATTTTCAAATGGATGTGACAGAGAATTTAATAAAAATTTAAATACATGCACAGCTTTAAAACAGATTAGGGGTTGCTTTTTCAAAAATGATATGTAACCCCTTATATTATACACTTCAGTTTTACTCCAAATATGATTTGAATATCATTGTAAGAAACTGACAGCCCTATTTTTTTATTTTGATCTGTTTGTCATTCATTCTAAGTTGTAGGAGTCTGAAAAATAAACGTTTAATAAAAAGGCTCACGAAGAGACGATCTATCATCCCCCTGTGACGACCGCATTATGATCTCTTTCGATTTTTGTCGTCTTTAAATTTCTGAACGCGAACGGAATTTTCTTCTCGAGCTTTTGACGTTAGAGGATAAATGATTCCCTTAATTGGATTTCTAATGAGGAAACTCCTTACAAGAATGTCCCTCTTTAACAAAACTAAAAGCTCGCATATAAAAGGGAACCCTTTGGCAACCTCATGTTTTCTACCTTCTGCTTCTGTAATCAATAATAACTACTGGGATTCTCCTTGTTCGAATGTTGAAAGTCTCTGGCTGCAGTGTCATTAGAACTGAAGTGTAATTTATGAGGAACGGAAGTGGATAGACTTCACGTATTTATACGTATATACCTACAGATATATACGTTTTATATACGATAAATATAAATGTCAGGTAGATAACGTACTGAATAGAAAGCTATTTTCAAAGCTAGCGAACGTTACGGTATTCCCTCGTTTTCAGGCAGGAGCTTTTACTGTATAGCTTGTTGGAAGTGGTTACATTTAAAGGAAAACACAGATCAATCTCAAAAACAACGTATTTGAAAGAAAACATACTAAAAAATGTAAAATAATTATCCCAAACAAAAAATATTTAGGTACACGATTGCATTAAATCGTGGCAGAAAGATAACGACCCCTAACACCTCCAGCGTCCTACTTTTTTCAATTTCTACTTTATCAGCCTACAGTACACGTATCATCCTTTGAAAATCGATTGAAAATAAGTTTAAAGATTGAAACTTTTCGTATGCGTCACCAGTATTTCTTCATGTCTAAAAGTTTCGTAAACTCATTAAGCAAAGTATAAATAGTTGCTACCTTGTCAGGTTAAAACCTTAATTAATCAATCGATCAATCAATCAATCAATGCGTCGAAGAAAAAAACTAGAGTGAGGTCGAAAAAATACATCATCAAAAGGATTTTACATTACTTCAAAGCTATTTCGCCTTGATGTGTTCGACCTCTAACGGCAATTTATTCAAAAAAAGTTTTATATGATTTAAAAATCTTCAAAGACAAACACCAGATATAAATAATCCTTGCCTTAAAATACTTATCAGTACGACCCTTTCTGTTTAAAATATTATTTTAACACATAAATATTAATAATAATTTATTTCAATGAAATGTACAATAACTATTATAGCTTTGTCTAATCATAAATATATAACTTAAATATATGTATTTGTAATAACATATCTACATACGTTATGTTTGTTTTCTAAAACATTAGCGTTTTGTTATGCTTAATTTTCCTTCATAGAGACTATTTCTTGTATGAATGTTAAACCAGCAGCAGCGAAAGTGTTTTTGTTTTGGTTGCAAACGCGAGTGCCTTTGCGAATTAATAAATGAAAAAAAAAAGAAAGTGTTGTTGTTAAAACAAAGTTATATTTAAGTTAAGATTCTCTATTCGAGCAACGTTCACCCTCCTGTAATAATAGTAATACATATCCATATCCTTCTCGGTTGAAGCTTTCCGTTATCTGAAACAGATGACATCATTTGCGCATACATCTGTATTTTATTTATTCTACTTCCATGTGTTTCCGAGATTTATGGTAGTAGAACACATTAACTTCTTTTTCTATCTTTAAACGAAAAAAATTTTAAAAAGTGTAGACATAAAAATTTGCTACCGCTGAATTGTACCACAGTGACATATTTTGTATGACGTGTGTACATATACAAGGGAAAATACAAGAAGAGACTAGTTCACTAGTGTATCTGGTCTCGGCGGTCGCCCGTAGACAGGGCAGTAGCAGCAGGGCTGCACGAACATATTAATCGAAAAAATTTTTTAAATAAATCATTATAATCATTAGTGTCCGACTGAAACTGGTTTTTACGACCGAAACCGAAACCGAATTTCGGCAACGGTCTCAGTTTCGACCGAAACCGAAACCGAAACCGAAACTTCCATATAAGGATCATGTTTTGAGAGAAAAATAAAGAAAACGTTATTATAATCAGTCAGTTTTATTTTTTTATCTTTAAATCACATAGCTCTGCAGTCTTTGACATTTTAACTTATTGATAATCAAATCAAAATCAACATAACAACCCCTCATTTAAGGAAATACTTTAATTGCGCCCTAAAAATACTTAAAATAGGTGAGATGTTTATTTGAGTAAGTGTAGTAGACTAGACTCATTTTTCTTTTGAAGATGATTCATGTTTTTTTTTATATAATATTAAACATAAAATTACTTTTGTTATTGTTACCTAATATCACAATAGGTATAGGAACTTACGATTTAAGTAATAAACGCAGTTTCGGTTTCGGTCGTAGTTTCGGCATGCCGCCGAAACCGAAACTAAACCGAAACTCTTTTTTTTGCCGAAACTCGACCGAAACCGAAACCGAAACCGAACTTTCGGTCGGACACTAATAATCATCATAACGTTTTCAGCCCTGATACTAATAAATAAAGAAACTTTACCTCTTCATAATTTTATAGTAAAAAGCATTTATATCAGTTCCCAGTTTTAATATTTACTAAATCTAATTCTTTTTCTTCGATAGTTTTTAGTTTTCCTAAATGTTATTTGATTATCATCGCCCAGTACGTGTGCGATTACTCTAAATTTAATTATTTCGTGTCAGCTTTTAATAGTTTATGTGAAATTCATGGAAAATTATGTTAATGCTCTCGTTTTACTTTTAAAACAATTCCAATACGTCAAGTTCACGGAGCAGTTTGTCTTATGGTTTGCATGACTTAAATTCAAACTGCTTTTAATGATTCGATTGTGGGAATTGAATTTAAATTTATATTCATCCGAAGTGCTGCGATTTATCGTTCGTTTTTGTTCAGAAGCTTTCCATAAAAATTATGATAGAATATAAGCCCTTCATTCATTAAACCATTTACCTCTCAGGTAGCATTATTTGCAAGTAAAATTCTTCTTTAAGGGTGCACTTTAGTTGAGTTACGTATGTAGTTACTCGATTATATGTATTACATAAGTAGGTAGTAGATAGTCCTTTATTTAAATTGCCTTGCGGGAAACAATTATTCAAAATGTAATTAATTTCCTTCAGTCCTGCTGCTATGTATACGTATATACAAATATATATATGTATAGATGTAAATTATTAATTATTATCATGCTGAATTCTGTAATCGTAATATAAGCAGTGCGTACCGATTTGATATTCGAAGGAAATGGAATCAAATTTCTTAGAAATTTAATAAAGGGTGTCATAATAAGTTCCAATAACCCTCTCTATCGGTAGCGCAATGCGGGTGAGACGTTGGAAATGAACTGGGACAGCATATTCCCGACAACAAGTAGTAAAGTAGAAATTCTCGCGAACAAAGGGTTGATGAGTTCCAACCCTTAATAAACTCTTTTTGTAAGCACTGTAGTGCTTGTAAAGATATATACGTATAGTGCATAGGTATGCGTGTTTAGATATACCCATTGACATCGTACAACGAAAGGAGTTCGTACTCATGAAAATTAAACGGGTCTTTTTGTTGATGAAAATCCTTCATAAAGAAGGTTGTTGGGAACGCTGATCTGGGGCACCAAAATGAGTTTTATGTACCTACGCTGCACTAGCTGTTTACTGGCATCTAAAGTTTTTATTTTTTTTTTTTCGAGTGCTTACTCGGTGTACAGAACAGGACATAGGAAAGAAAACTGTCCCCGAGGGATAGAGAAATTAGTTTTATGTGGTCGTCGATGATCCTAGACACATATTTAGAACAACAACGCGAGCGAAGCCGAGGGTAAAATTTATCATGAATTTTTGTACACATATTGTCAGGTGTACAGAAAAGGGCCTAGGGTACCTTTTATCCAAAAAAAACATACTGTCTCCGAGGGATACAGAAATTAGTTTTATGTGGTCGTCGATGATCCTAGACACATATTTAGAACAACAACGCGAGCGAAGCCGAGGGTAAAATCTAACATAAATTTTTGTACAATCATTGTCAGGTGTACAGAAAAGGACCTAGGGTACCTTTTATCCAGAAAAAAACATATTGTCTTCGAGGGATAGAGAAATTAGTTTTATGTGGTCGTCGATGATCCTAGACACATATTTAGAACAACAACGCAAGTGAAGCCGAAGGTAAAATCTATCATGAATTTTTGGACACATATTGTCAGGTGTACAGAAAAGGACCTAGGGTACCTTTTATCCAGAAAAAAACATATTGTCTTCGGGGGATAGAGAAATTAGTTTTATGTGGTCGTCGATTATTTTTGACACGTATTTAGGACATCAATGCTAGCGAAGTCCCGGGTAAAACCTGGTATGTTTACAAGGAAACTTGGGTAATCGAGAATGACGGTAAATTGTAACTGCGAACGATTTTTGAAATTCAATTTTCTAAACATCCGCTGAAAGAAATGTTTATGAAATATGAGTGGAGCTATGTCATTAATTACGTTGTTTTTTTGGTCAAAAATTAAATTCACGAAAAAGAAACCACTGACATACAAAAAGTAATTAAAACTGTTCGACCATAATTTCCTTTCGTCACTGTCAAAACTGGTGTAACATAAACAACTACAGCAGCAACTAATGCATTTAACAGTTACTACCACGTTGAATGACAGTTCAGAGTCTCAACTTCAATGTCTGTCATTATTCTATTTTGAGGAACCGTAAATAGATACACACGGAACCACAACACGGTCAGTATGAACGGCATGTTTTACCAAGAAAAATTGCGCTCGTGCCGATGAAGGAGAATAACTAGCATTTCCTATTGTTACCTCATTAACTCTGAAATGTAACTGAGATAAGGTCAAGAAACCTTTTCACAACTACTTTATGTTCATTTTTAATTAACACTAAGCAATTAAAACTCAACGTTTGAAATTGACTCACTCACTAATAACACATACCTAGACATATTAGAAGGAGAAACAGGAGTTAAGAAGTTCTAAGGATGTGGGATGTTCTAGTTTTAGGGAAATAGGATAAGAAAGAGTGGAGCTGAGTACTTAACCAGTTTTATGTGGCACATTCACTTCGATTTTGGATTTTGTTCGTGGGAGGACCAACAATTTTTGACTGGACATAAAAACAGAAAAACTCTCATTATCAAAAAGGAACAAGAAAGTGCTGGCGAAAATCAAACATGTACATACTCAATAGTGCGAAAGCTTTCCAAGTAACATAATTACAAGTGGATAAGTGGGTGTAATCCAGTCTTGCTCGCTATTTCTTGGAACAACTCTTGATGTTCATATGCATTGAAAGTTAATATGCACATCGCGTTGCATCGAATCCGAGAAGACCATGTCGGTGTCCGAAGTGTTTACTTGTAAATAACTGTTCGGCGGATTTGTAAAACAAAACTATGCATGTAGGTAGGGCAGTAACTCGCGATAACTAATACATTTCAATTACAAAAAGGATCCCTCCTTTTGCCCTCTGCCTTCTGAACATTCCACGTTTTTCGGCGAAAATGTACGAACTCAAAATGAATACGTGAAACATCAAACGCTTTGATGTTTCAAGCAGGAGGCCGACAATTAGAATGCTAATGTAACATGTGACAACTATAACATTACATATACACATATATGTGTTGATCATCCTTTGTTCTTTTATTAAAAACCATCGGCTTTATTAAAGAAACAACAACGCGAGATGTACCTAGCAAAATAAAAGGTAAAGGTAGAGTAAAACGTAGGCAATTGTTTTACTGATTTATTTTCCATCGGTCACCACGAATTTTAGCGTTCCAAAATGGCTCTTTATCTTACGAATTTAAAATTAAAATTAAAATAAAAAGAACTAGCCAGGCAAACGCATTGGTAGAAGAAATAGTAAAAAAAGAAGGAAAACTAGCCTTTACTAGGGAATAAGAAGGAGCTTTTTTGTTTTCACCAAGTGAATGCGAAGAGTCATTATTACCTTGTGGTAATGGATTAAAGTCAATATTTGTAGTTATCTCAGTTTTTGGCTTCATTATTGTAGTACAGTGTAAACTCTATATAACGACACTTAAGGGACTGAACATTTTTCGGCGTTGGAAAGAATAAGAGAACAGAGTACTCTATGGAAGTCAATAAAAAATAGTCGAGATAGATTGGTAGGACACCTTCTTAGGCATGAAGGTCTAGTCAGAGACATATTAGAGGCAGAAACGGGAGTTAGGAGGGATAGAGGTAGACCTAGATTAGATTACTGTTCGCAAATAGTTAAGGATGTGGGCTGTTCTAGTTTTAGAGAAATGCGAAGTTTAGCTCAGGATTGGAAAGAGTGGAGGTACGTGTCCAACCAGTCTTAGGACTGACGACCTTATGATGATGATAAAGAGTGGTCGTTAAATGGAGAGAAATAAAAAATATTATTTTACTATTCTATAATAATATGCATTTACCAATGTAGTACACATTTTGCACACGAACATTATTATTCATGCATTGCGTATAGCCTGTTATCTTCGTCTGATTTTTTTTGCTGCTCCAATATTTTAATTGTATTTTGTTACGTATCTTACTCATATCTTGAGATACTGCTGGATAAATTTGATTATATAAAAAGTATTTTTTTAATAGTTTCGCTGCATCAAGTGCTTGTTTGATGCTTGGTGGAGGGACAGGATCGTCTTCTTCAACAACGTACACAGCTGCAGATCTTATCTATTTCGGCAACTTAGAAAGTACTGCTCAATGATTTATAATGCCGCATCGTTGTCGTTAAATAGAGTGAGCGTTACGCTATAAAGAGTGTAATATTGTATAGAAAACAATGTAAACCAACCAAAGTCAAGCAATTTCGACGTTTTAAGGAGTTTGTCTTTAAATCGAGTGACGTTATAAAGAGTTTACACTGCATTTCAAAAGATGGATCAGGAATAAGAGCAAAAATTATGCAACAACTATTTCCAAATCTACTATTAAACGCGACTGTGTAGGTGTTACACAGTGGTGTCATTTAACGTGAACTGGGGCATTTATTTTAGACTTGTGCCATATTCTAACAGTGAGGTCTTATCTCATAATTTCGGGCGTACCTACGCATATTTTCCGGAAACAAGAAACAATGGCTGACGTTTGTTTGTAATGCTAAGTTCTTTTGAAAATTCTGAGGTGGTGGACAAGAAAGTACTCTTGACAGTTAACAAGTAATGTAAAATATAGGTCAGATCATGTTTAAAATTCTCGACAAGTATGCGAAGAAAATGTAGAAAATCGATTCGTGTAGGAACTCGACTTCAACAAGGTCAAGCATCGTTTTCATTACTTTGCACACTCTTGTCCTGAACACTCAGTATGTGTATGCGATATTTCTTTTGCCATTGCTTTGTGGTACAACTCAAAAAATAATTATAATGATCTTAGAGTGAAATGGGTGAAATGGTCATTTCAAGGGTGGGCTAAGATTTAAGGAAATTATGCAATATAGAAAAGAAAACATTAAACATTACAGATTTCGTTCATTAAAAAAGGATGCGGGACGACTGGCCGCACGGTTCATTGAAACGTATGCCACAGAATACATGTTGAGTTTTCCAGCTTTTGGAGACCAGCTTTTGGCGAGTAATTTCTAGTGAAAAATACAGAAAAGTGGAAAGGGTGCAGAGATATGTTTCGAGTGAGGTTCAACATCGAGAAAATCTAGTATTATTCTGATCTATATCTCTACATAAAAAGGTAAATTGTTCGGCTGACATTGTCAACGAACAGCCCAAATCCCTGAGCTTACAGGTTTGAAATTTTGCAAAGACGATCCTTATACAAATTAGACGGCACTAAGAAAGGATCTTTTTAAATTCAACCCATACAGGGGTAAAAAGGGGGCTCAAAATATGATGTATCGATCAAATACACTCCAAACCGTTGAGTCATGGAGCTTAAAATTTTGGACAAAGATTCCTCTTATACAACCGTATCATCCACTACAAAATGAGTTTTGAAAATACCACCCCTTAAGGAGTGACAAGTGGGTTAAAAGTTTAACACATTGCAAACTTATAAAAAAATTTTCCACGAATAACTGCTGTACCAACAATGGTGTCGTCCAAATTTGGACGGGTTACAGCTAGTACATTACACATAGATATTACGTTGAAACAATTGGATGAATTAAAGATAACTCACGTATGTAATTTAAACAATTGATATAAATACAAATCAGCGCTAACTTAAGATAACAACCTAATAATTCCTTAGTCCTTAAACAAGTTAGCTTCATACAAAAGGGGGGACTACATATCATCTCTTAGTTTTCTTAAGGCTTCTTGTACCCTTGATCTGTCGACGTGCATTCGCAATTTATTCATTAAAACAGACACAAAACAACGTACAGAAGAAAAACAATTTAAAACTTTATTAGCATAGGCTTTAGCAAAACTTTTGCTCCCTCTGCTTGTAAACAATTGTTTGCAGTTTACGCGGTCAATTTAACTTGGGCAAACTTTTTATTTCCGAGAAAATTTGAACGGGCTATGAATAAAATCGAGAATTGTGCAGTCACGTTTGGCATTTGTTTGATACGTGAAATACAAATTTTGGAAATATCTTAAGTATAATTGATACATCGGACAAACGAGTAAATCTTTTAAAATGAGAATCGCGTAATCCAAATATCTTTAATTAATTTTTTTAAACGCTTTTATGCGTTTCTAGGTAACATAACTCGATTTGATATAAAACATTGCGTTGACGCGAATTATATTAAACACAAACAATTATTAATGCTTTTTTCTTAATCTTTCATTCATTCATTCTAAAAAAAAATTGTAGACTAATTGATGAGAGTGTCGTTAAAGGCTGGCAATTCTCTTCATGATGGCCTACATTTATTGTAATGAAAGCCAAATACGTGCACGCAATGAGCAAATTTTAATTAGGTACTAACTATGTATTAATATTGGAATGATAATAGTAACAACAACCGGAAATCCAATAACGGCTTAATGGACCGTATTGGTTGACATTTTAAAACTTCGCTGTCCATCTAATTACCAATGCTAAATTTTTTNGGCCAACATTTTCTATCTCGTTGATTCTTTGGGATGTTCGATGACATTTGGATGACTATGATAGTGATATAACCTCGTTTGTCAGTTTGTTGCTATTGTCAACATAAACCGATATAAAGTAATTAATCTATAATAAAAAACTCTAAAACAGAGTGCTTCGCCTAAAAGTTATGTAATAAAGAACAATGTTAATAGTAAATGTTAATGAATTCATAAATAAAGTGTTACATGAGATCAAGTATAGTAAAATGTTATAGTCTGTTGATTTCCAAAGCTTTATGAAACAGTTAAACCGAATAAAAATATTATTCCGTTCCACCCTCACAATAATATAAATTAAAATATAATCTTCGAATGTTTTAGACTAATTATATGAAAATTGATTTAGAATTTTGATAATAAACAAAATCTTTACTTCGCTTTTTATTAAGTAGATACTTTATCATCACATTTTATTTTACTTTATCATTTGTTCGAACAGTTTCAATTAGTCGTTTGTTATCTTGTTGCAAATAGCGCTCAAAGCAAAAAATGTGTGAAAATACCTTTAGTCCCTTAACATTCCCCATATGTAGTTTGTTTTATATTATCCGCCACTCATACGGTGGGTACTTTCCACAAATGATTGTTCTCGATGCTTAAGCTAACACAGTTTCTGTTCAAATGACACATGTTGAAAAAAGTGCGTATTATCAGTCGCGGATGTTTAAACTCGTACACTAAATTTAATTAATCAGTTACCAAGACTTTTCTTCGAACACTGTCGACGCGCTTCTGAATAACTTCACTTCTTGCAGTTAAATTTAAATACTGCTCGGCTTTGCTCGCTGCATACGCCGATTGCTATTTGTGCCACGAAGAATTTTCGATATATTTTTTTATTTCGAGTACAAAATTATAATCCGTTTTTTCTTGTTTTCTTCTATCATTTGAAAATGTTTGGGTACCAATTAAATTTTTATTACAGTTAAGCCCGCAACAACTTTGAGGTTCCCGTGAAAACATACTCTCCCTTGATAAATATGTTAAATAAAGCACTCGTTCCACAATAAATTAATTGCTTTAAAATTTCGAAACATCCTCCTTTAATTTATTTGCGGTTTTTGATATTGAGGCGGCTTATTTTCTCAACAATTCTTCTTTATCAATTATCACTGCATTAAATAGAAATTTTTTTGAACGAGAAGCGATGAAATGCTTTCAATTTCAACGCGTCTTCTAAAACCGTTTGAGTAAAACTAAAATATGTTAGTTTAATGGACAGGCTTCTGTTGGGTCCTGTTGTCATAGGCGTTTTGGGTATACATTATACAAGAAGTAGTTACGTAGAAGAGGGGGAAAAGTTCTCTAAAACATTAATATAAGGGTGGCTGCTGCTTGTTTTATTAGAGCTTCAAAGATGACCATGTCATCACGCAGAACAAACAAGGTACTCCACTTACATGAATATAGTTACTCACACAGAAAAAATTAAAATAAATAAGTATTAATTAACTTCATTTAGATGTAGGTATATTTTTAAATTTTATAGCAGATTTAAATTAATTTGTAGCAGATTTAAATTAATTTGTAGCAGATTTAATTTTACCCTTTTCTTTTCCAATCGTAAGTGTAAAATTTCAAAATCGTCAGTAAAGCTATGTGATAGTTGTAGTTAATGTTCCACGTTGGTGTATGTTCTTTAATATTCTCTTTGAAGGATCTATCTGTTTGGCCTATGTAGGCATTATTACAAGATCTACATTTAAGTACAGAAACGTCCGATTTTAAATTTTTCTTTGTGGGATTTTACTGTTTATTAATAATTTTCCTAACGAATTATTAAAATTAAAACGTTTAAAATTAGCACATTTTTGATGGATATAAAGAAGAGTAGAAATCCTTACTTTCGTCAATCGTTTTTCATTTTTTAATGTTCATTCATGTACTTATTAATAATATCTCACTCGCATACGTTACCAAAGTAATGAATGAACTTTGAAATAAACGAAAACATAGATAATTTCCTCGCTAACTGTGCGTAAGTCAGATTTTAAAGACACCTGTCGTTATAGCAGATGCTGCAAGTACGGTTTATGCATTATACACATGGTTTCTCATGTCAATTAAAATAGACAACGGTATTTATAGCTGTAATGTAATTATTTTTGCTTCTGCAAGTAAGTACGCGATTGCTAATGAAATACATATATCTGCTATATCTCTTTCAATAAATCATCTATACCTACATCTGTATACGTTTTAAATAATTAACACGATGCCATTAATCAGTTCACTATTTTTTTTTTTGATAACTTACAGAAATGAACTTTGTTTTTAAGCGCAATTACATTCTAATTTATTTAAACTCATTTAATTTATAGGTAATCGTAATTACGGTCTGCTACATTAGTAATCAACCTCAGGCACAATTAATTTATTGTACTGTCTTTTCTATTATGGTAAATTATACTTTTATGAAAACAGAAGGTAAAATCAATCTTTTTCAGTCTTCTAAAGTAATTTTGGGACTTCAATAAATAAATTAAACACCCTATAATACTCTCCCAATATTAGTTTAAAGAAGTCTATAATTGTTGCGGTGAATACTCCACCATTATCAAGAATTTCAAATTAATTTTCGGACTTTCCCGGCAAAACTTTATATTTTTAAATATATCCTGATTAATGGGTTGCCTATAAATTTATTATTATGCCTCCCTCAATGTTACATTTTATTATTAAACAGAGCAAATTTTGAAACTTAATTTTAAAGCGCATTTAAAAAAGCTATAAAACTGTCCATTTAAGCCATTTATTTGTTTATTGCAATATTTTGAATTTACTTTTATAGCAAGTAACTGGCAATCTATTAAATGAACAGTTTAGCTAGAAGGCCAACATTTTCTATCTCGTTGATTCTTTGGGATGTTCGATGACATTTGGATGACTATGATAGTGATATAACCTCGTTTGTCAGTTTGTTGCTATTGTCAACATAAACCGATATAAAGTAATTAATCTATAATAAAAAACTCTAAAACAGAGTGCTTCGCCTAAAAGTTATGTAATAAAGAACAATGTTAATAGTAAATGTTAATGAATTCATAAATAAAGTGTTACATGAGATCAAGTATAGTAAAATGTTATAGTCTGTTGATTTCCAAAGCTTTATGAAACAGTTAAACCGAATAAAAATATTATTCCGTTCCACCCTCACAATAATATAAATTAAAATAACATCTATAAATACATTTTTTAATAAAAAGTGCCCATGAAAGTGAAATAGGATAAGATGTAACTGCAACTGCTGCTAAACATAATTTTACGTTGCTTTAAAGACACACAAGTTAAAGACACTTAGCATTTAAATTTTACTGGTGATGTTTTGAACCGAAGGATAAATGACTGGTACTATCAAGCACCCCTCAAATCAGTCACCTAAAAAACCTGTAAAGCATATGGTGCACTGGTTTCGAAAAGGCTTAAGACTCCATGATAATCCTGCTTTGAGAGAAGGTCTACGTGATGCAACCACTTTTCGTTGTGTTTTTGTCCTGGATCCATGGTTTGCTGGATCATCCAATGTTGGAATCAATAAATGGAGATTCCTTCTTCAGTGTCTTGAAGACTTGGACAGTAGCTTGAAGAAATTGAATTCGCGACTTTTTGTTATAAGAGGACAGCCTGCAGATGCATTACCGAAGCTTTTTAAGGAATGGGGCATAAATGCTTTAACTTTTGAGGAAGATCCAGAACCATTCGGACGTGTAAGAGATCACAACATATCAGCTCTTTGCAAAGAAATGGGCATTACAGTCATCCAAAAGACATCCCACACATTATATAATTTGGACGCTATTATTTCACGTAATGGAGGCAGAGCCCCATTCACATATCATCAGTTCCAAACAGTAATTGCTGGAATGGATCCACCCCCTACAGCAGAAGCTGCAGTTACTGATAAAACACTTAATGGAGCTGTAACACCTGTTAATGAGGATCATGATGACAGATTTGGTGTGCCCACTCTTGATGAACTAGGCTTTGACACTGAAGGATTGCTTCCTCCAGTTTGGCAAGGCGGCGAAACAGAGGCTCTGGCAAGATTGGAAAGGCATTTAGAACGTAAGGCTTGGGTGGCTTCTTTTGGCCGACCTAAAATGACTCCTCAGTCACTTTTAGCTTCACAGACAGGCTTATCCCCGTATCTACGATTTGGTTGTTTGTCAACAAGACTGTTCTACTATCAGCTGACTGATTTGTACAAAAAAATTAAGAAAGCCTTTCCCCCTCTTTCACTTCATGGGCAATTATTATGGAGAGAATTCTTCTATTGTGCAGCTACAAAGAATCCAAACTTTGATAAGATGGTTGGTAATCCAATTTGCGTACAAATTCCATGGGATAAGAATCCTGAGGCCCTTGCTAAATGGGCAAATGGTCAAACTGGATTTCCTTGGATAGATGCTATCATGACTCAATTACGTGAAGAGGGCTGGATTCACCATCTGGCTAGGCATGCTGCAGCATGTTTCTTAACAAGAGGAGACCTGTGGATATCATGGGAAGAAGGGATGAAGGTATTTGAAGAGCTGTTGCTTGATGCAGACTGGTCAGTCAATGCTGGAATGTGGATGTGGTTATCCTGTTCAAGTTTCTTTCAGCAATTCTTTCATTGCTATTGCCCCGTTAAATTCGGGCGTAAGGCAGATCCAAATGGCGATTATATCAGAAAATATCTCCCAGTATTGAAAAACATGCCTACACAATACATCCATGAACCCTGGAACGCATCTGATGCTGTCCAGAAAGCTGCTAAATGTATCATTGGAAAAGATTATCCCTTGCCTATAGTAAACCATACTTTGGCTAGTAAAATAAATATGGAACGTATGAAACAAGTCTATCAACAGTTATCAAAATATCGCAGTTTTGATACTCAGAAATTGAATTGCATTTCTTCTTCAAAATTAAAAGACTACCAGCCCAGTGTTGTCACCGTTGGGAATCTCAAAAACTTACAAATTTAAGGATTTTACTCAAAAAACATAATCCTAATTCCTTATAAAAACTATATTCTTGATTTATTTTATATAAGACGGTTTTATCAATACAATTAGTTTTTGTACAAAATACATATGTACATCTTTTTCAGAGTTTATTGGTATTTTATTGTAATTGTAATATTTGTTTATATTAATAATAAATGTAAAGTTTTGTACATATTTATCGTTTATTAAAAAAATATCCAGTTAAGGTCGACGTAATTTAAAAAAATACGTGTTCTTGCATTACTTTCATAACTTATTTTAGGATCGCCGATCCAGTGTTCGTGTAACGTGGTAAAACACGTGTTATATCACGTTTATCACCATTTGCTGCTTAGACTTGCGCAAATTGTTTTAAAAGTTCTTAATACGTTTGAATCAATTTGAATAATTTGAATTAATCGCGCTATAAAAACTGCAACCACAGAGTTATACAAATATTTAGTAAACTACGGTGTAAGTCTAAAATAATTGCCTAATTCTATAAACAAAAAAAATTTTTTTGCTTCATACAAAGAAAGGTGCTCTGAGAGATGTATGATCAAATAATTTATTCTTGTTTAAGCTTCTTTGACGATAACTCGTAAAATATTAAAAACCCTTTTAGTCCGATCATGTAGTCTTTAGCCACTTCTACTTTTAGTCTACCTAACCTTCAATTTTTAACGTGGATGTCAATGAAACATAACCTAATAGTTTTGCCATCTACTGCGTTAAACAGGTTGTTTAAAAATGTAATTGTTCCCTAAAATTTTTTCACGATTTAATAAAAATGTCATTTTTTACAAAAGCCAAGTCAAAAAAGGAATTCACCAGACAAAACCGTAAGCGTAAAGCTACGGAAGTAGTTCAAGAGAAAAACGATGAAATTACTAGTAGTGAAGATGAAGCTAATGGAATTACTGAAGACTCATCCTTAACATCTGAAGAAGAACTCGAGACTGCTCAAGAGAAAAAATTAAGATTAGCAAAGGTTTACTTACAAGAAATTGAACGTGAAGAAAGGCGACGTCTTGAAAACGACAACGAAGAAATTGGTGATGATTTGATACAAAAACGACTTAAGGAAGATTATCTTAAGCAAACAGGAAAGTTAAGGCTTACAATTGCTGATAAATACACAAGCGTCGATAATAGTAACATAAAAATTTTAAAGTGTAAACAGCACAGAAAACCTATAACTTGTTTATGTATTACTAGTGATAACAACTTCATATTTTCTGGAAGTAAAGATGGAATAGTAGTAAAGTGGTCTCTAAATGATTTTAAAAAAATTGGACACTTTTCTTTTTCTGCAAAGAATAGTATTCCAAATTCTCCAGACTATCCTAAACCAATCACAAGTGTAGCAATTTCTTCAGATAGTAAGTTTTTAGCAGTAGGAGATGAATCAAATAATATTCATGTGTGGGACCCACAGAGTTTAAAATACCTGAATGTCCTTAGAGGCCACAGAAAGTCAGTAACAGGACTTTCATTTAAAAAAGAATCACACACTCTGTACTCTTGTAGTGCAGATAAATCTGTTAAGGTTTGGTCTTTAGATGATATGGCATATGTGGAGACTTTATATGGACATCATGACAAAATAACAGCCATTGACTCCTTATACAGAGATAGAGCAATTACAGCCGGTGGTAGTGATTGCTCTTTAAGGATATGGAAGATAGCAGAGGAGTCTCAGCTAATTTATAATGGTCATTCAGGGAACCTTGATTGTGTAAAATTAATTAATGAAGAAAATTTTCTATCAGGAGCAGATGATGGACAGCTTTGTGTGTGGTCATCAATGAAGAAGAAACCATTGTGTACTATTAAAGATGCACATGGAATTGATGAGAACAACGAGCAACCAAATTGGATTTGTTCAGTTACAGCCTTGTTAAATACCGATCTTGTAGCTTCAGGCTCATATGATGGATTTATAAGATTTTGGAAACTAGATAATAATTTTCGGTCAATACAACCATTATTTTCTGTGACTGCTAATGGATTTGTCAATAGTATGGAATTTACTTCTGATGGCAAGTTCTTAGTAGCATGTGCAAGTACTGAACATAAGTTTGGTAGATGGAATGTAATAAAATCATCAAAAATTAGTTTAGTAATTGTACCACTAAATAAAATAAGCTGAAAATGGCTATTTCATTATTTTATAATTAATTGTATCAAACAATAAATATTCACTTTTAAGCCAAACTCGTAACTGTTTTAAAGACAATATCATTTTATTTTTAATTAAGTAACATAAAAACATGTGTAATGTTAAAAAACGATATATTAATTTAACTAATCAAATTTTATAACTTGGATCACAAGGAGAGATATTCAACAAATAATTTACCTGACACCACATCAAATAAATAAAAATTTAAAGATTTAACAATTATGATAACTACCGTACACTTATACATAATTATCTATTACAGTTTTTTATTCAAATTTCTCTTTTAATTTGTGCTTAATAAAAACAGGTATTAAAGAAATAATAGCAAATACTGCCAAAAGTAATACTGATGACCAGGAAAATCCAGTATCACTTGAAGTCATTGTGTGTAAAGTTTGGCCTGTTTGGATTGCTACAAAAGATGGTGGGGCAACACCTAGAAAAGTTCCCAATGCAAAAGGTACCAAAGGTACACCTATTACAGGGGCAGTCAAGTTTATAAACCAGTTTGGCAAAAACGGCGTAACGCGTAGAAAAATGATATAATTTAATAAATTGGTCCTGTGTTTGTCAACCATTGCAGCCCACTTTGCTACCCTCTCAGGGTAATATATCATTATCAGTCTTCTACCCAGAAGTTGAGACAATAGAAAGCAAAGAGTGGCTCCTACTGCTGAACATGTACAAACCAAGCATAGAGCTAAGTAGAATGGAAACAGAAAACCTGATAATATTGATAAGAAAAGGGATCCTGGGATAGCAAAAGTTTGCAAGCTAAATATAATTAAGGAAAATGCAACAGTTCAGTTTTGCAGGACATTTACAAAAATTACTTAAAGGATACAATATATATGTCAAAAATACACCAGTCAAGACAGGAACATAGTGTTGTTCTTTGTACTTGCTCAGCACTATACCTAAGTTTTTAGCTTGTTCGATATTCCATGGCAAACGAATGTGTTGCCTTTCTTCACTGAAAAATAAAGGATATTATTATAAAAGAACTTAAATCCAAAATAACTACTATAGTCTTAGAGCTCTTTTACCTCCATGGTCCCTTGCTTTTCCAATAAAGGTAAAGAATTCTAAGAACATGGCTATCAAGTTGCAAAATAAATGAATTACCTTGTTACATTTGGGAAGTTGGCATAAACCAACAGCAATGTAAAAAATGAGCAAACAAATATAACTACCACTGCCAAAAGGGCACTTCTTGTAGAAAGTACAGACCTCCTTCTATCTGCAATAACAAAAATAAATTACTTATTATTCGATGTACACGAAGTATATTTCGTACATGGTTGAATTGGAGCAGAAAGAGGATTATTTTCAGGAATTTGAGGTTCATGTGCTAAGTTTTCTTGGATAGGATGGTGCATATATCTAATGTAGATTCTACTTCTAGCATAATTTCTGAGAAACTGGCTGTAAATTGGTGTCTCAGATGTATTTTGAGAATGAAAACCACCAAAAAGGATATCAGTGGATGAGGTGATTTCAGGACATTGTATTAAATTATAACCTTCTATTTGCTGTTCTCTGAACATTTTGTTTAATGAAGATCAGACTCACGAACAACACATGTAACCATAAAATCCTATTGAAAATCTCCTCCGATTTTCCACATTAAATGTTCATTTTAATAAATAAATTATAACGTTAAAATATTTAATTAATATACATGGTTTAAACACATCATAAGATCAGGGTCACCAACAATCGTTACGTCAGGATATCGTACAATATGTTTTACCAACCATTAAGTTTTAAATACAACTAGTTCTCCCCCCTGCCTACGGCCATTTTTATTGCTCCACTGTGACGTAGTGTCGACCATCATTCTTTTCTAATTGTTGCGGTTGTCGGCCATCATTCTTTTCTAATTGTTGTAGTTGTCGGCCATCATTCTTTTTTAATTGTTGTAGTTGTCGGCCATCATTCTTTTTCAATTGTTGTCGCATTGTTACTGATGTCGGCCATTATGATTTTTTAATAGATATTTAATCAATGATTAAAATTTAAAGGAATTGTTTATAAATGGGTAATTGCTGATACTAACTTTTATTTACGTAATACTACTTTGCCCTGTGCTGACAGCACTCATAATTTTTTTTATATATATTATTATGAAAATTAATATTATACATAGATAAAACCATGGTTAAGACTATGCATTTACAGTAAAAGAACTCTCTATAATGCCAGATTTTCATGTTTGACCTTTGTTTTGTCTTTAATTTGAGGAAATGTTCTACTAAATATTTATACATTCTGATTGGTTGTTGGCCAGAAACCATCTTTTAAGACCATTTTGTAAAGTTACTTCCATATAGACCGCGAAATTTTAAATTATATATTTATAAAAATGCTCTTTTGTTGTGAAGTATAAATAATTTAAGTTATACAGGGCTTTCATTAATAACTGGTATACAATAATGACTTTATTAAATAAAAATATAATAAAAAAGGGAACAAAGAGTAAAATAAGATTAATATCAATAGAAAAACGTTTTAAGTTGAATTTCGTGAAATCTGTTATGCGCTAAAGTATGTTTAGTATTTTAATTGACGTTGTTAAGCACATGGAGGTCCCCGGCATCTTTTTCTTTTAAGAAGACGATCGGGACACGGTTTGCCACCGTTTTCGGATGGTCGTTTTACCATGCGTCGTTTTTCAGTAAAACCTGTACCACACGAAACACTACATGGGGTCCATTCGCTCCATTCCGTTACCATACAATCGACAGGTTCATTTCCTTCCACAGGATAGCCGTTAAACTGTTGAGACAATACTGGTGGATGAACAGGAACATTTCCGGCGTTTCCACTTAAAATATCTACCACACACCAAAAAAAAAAATGATTACCTGATTAGAATTTTTGCCAGTTTGATTAAGATTTATCAACAATTAAGCTTTCGAATGAGAATACAATAAAACATCTAACTGGTTCTTAAATATTTTTCGATTAAAAAGGCGAAGGGATGAATTTATCTGTAATTAATTACCTATAACAACTTTGCACTGCTCCATACATTCTTCTCTGGTCATAAAGTTATTTCGATTTCCTCGGCAACCTCCATATACAAAAGGAATGCACATTTGCTTGCTCGGTACGAAGTACCATCGGTTAAAGTAGCCATTGCATGGTCCAGCTTCAGACTCTTCCATACACACCTCTGTACAAATACACATTTTTTTCAAAAATAAATGTACTGATTGATATTAAAATTGTTATTTACGCTTTGCTGTGGCCATGTCGAATGTACAATCCCGTTTTTCTACGCATGGTCTCGTTTGTACAATTTCAACTCTCGAGCTACATTTTTCTTGTAAACCTGGTTCTACTAGGAGCAATCTGGTTCTTAGTTTGACTCCTTTGCCGCAAGTACTGCTGCAAGGACCCCAATCGTTCCATTCCGTAACTGGGCACATGGGATCAGGAATGTCCCTTTCATTTTCAGAACACGGTGGACCCATACACTTTTGTCTTTCGTCTTATAAACAAAATACCATTAAAAACATTTGCCAGATTAAATAATTGTTTTAGAACTTACATGTTTGGATGTGGCTGCATTTCTTCTTCGCCATAACATCTTTAAACGATCTATACCTCGATTGAAATCCGATATCACATGTTGATGAGCATTCTGACCACTCGCTCCAAGGACTTGCTGAACAGATGTCATCGTTACCTTCGATAATTTGTTCTTCAGACTCTGGTTCGGTTCGCCCACTGAGGAAAAATAAACATTATACATTTTCATTTCGTTTGAATTTATTTTTCTTAATACCCTTCGCATTCAGGGACGGCAGCAACGCACATTTCTTTTGAAATTAGTTGCCTGTTACATTGGAACATGAGGGCCTTTTGTGGCAAAACGTATTCCCTTGATCTCATCCGGAGACCTTTACCACAGGTCACCGAACACGCGCTCCATTCGCTGAATTCGGTTACAGCACATTCAGCTAAAAACTTGTGTGAAAAAAAGTTGTCATTAGACGAAATAAAATGGTCTTACGCCTATTTGTATCTTCAGTATTTTCACTAATATCGACCTGGGCTGTAAGGAAGTCGTCATCACAATTTCTGGGAATCACCCTATCTCTCCGGATGTATAACTTTGCGAGTGGGTTCATTTCAGATTTTGATGGATCGTAAAATGGGGCTCTTGGATCTTCCGGATAAGTCGTAGTGATCCTGTACATTTTTTCTCTGGGACTCGTTTCAGCATTTGGAGACTGAAAATAACTCACAATCAGATGGTTCGTTAAATTGCTTATTTCCTTTTCCTACCATGTACGAAATACCACTATCAGTTCCCGCATCCCATGGATATAGATCGATGTCTATACGATCCATCCAGGTACAGTTGGGTAGGCAAAGATTGAGGCTATTGACTCCAACAACCCAATCAGGAGAAGGGCCGAACATTGATGCTACCGATATCAAATTATGTTTACGATCAACCTTAAAGTTAGTTGAAGTATTTGTGTTGACTTTTGGATACCAAAGACCATTAGCTTTGATAATAGTTCTTAAATGTTTGCTCTGTGCCTTTAGCTCGCTCTCCATAAGTCTGACAGACCCCCATTCTGCTAAACTTTTAAAACCTTCTGTGGCGATTTGCCCTTCACCCCAAAATGTAAAATTCGGAACGTGGGAAGCTCCAATAACGTCAGAAAAATGCGTCAAAGACACAAACAGCGGATAATCCTTCGGATGCGTTTCCTTAGACCATATTCCTTCGAAGATTAACTGAAAGTTCAAAATTTTGATACTTGGTACTAAAAATAAACGTATAAAATACGTTATATTTTGCTTCATCACAAGCGCAGCAATCTTGGGGTCCATATTTGATATCCTTTTCTGTTCTTTCGCAAAGTGTTTTGCTTAATTCACCATCATCTGCGTACCAGTGAGACGAGTCTTCCAAAACCATTGCCCTTTAATGTAGTTTGAAAATATTAATTGATGGGTTATATTAATTACGAAATCCACGTACCTAAAAACAACACATCCTGATCCTGTAGGAGGCGCTGTCCACAGTACGAAAACTTCCGTTTTTGGTAAACTATTTGTCTCCGAAACTGTATTTACACAATCTTCGTTAAATTTTGATAAATTGTCGCCAAAGAGTTGAAAACTTCCAACCTTTTGTGGAGAAATATTTCCGGGTTGATCAACAGATTCGACATTTATAATGAATCGCTTAAAGTGTTGCACATTATTAAACGCCCTTGATCCCATCAAATAAACTAGGAAAATTAAATATCGATAATTATAAACAATTAACGTTCTTATTTCATTCGTGGATTAAGTGGAATTTAAATGTACTTACTTGCATAAACTTCTCCAGGTACATATTTTTCGCTTCCTCCTTGAATTTTGATTTTATAACCGTTATCACCGGGTAACTTGCTTCGTCGGGAGTGATAAGGACTAGGAACTCGCGGGCACATTGAAAAAATAGTACCAAAAAGGAGGGAAAATAGAAGAAATTTTAAAATCATATTCACAACTTGTGACTACAGAGGATAAAGAATGTTTAAGTTGTAAATTGTACAACGCAGAAGCGATAACTAATGAGATCAGTTTCTCAAGTTGCTCTGTATTCTCTGTTTTATCAATGTTGTTGACCCGTAAATGCTATGAACATGGTCATTTGAAGTTGATATTATTTATGTATACTAAAAACAAACATGATTACATATTTATTATTACTGATTTCTTATTATTTAAGTCTTCATTTTAAATAAATTGAGACATAAAGATTTGCATGTTACACTACTCTATTCTTAGAATTGAATGTAAAGCACATGATGGAATCATAATTTTTCAAGGATTTGTGTAGGGAAATTATTCTTTAAATTCCTAAATTACTTTAATAGCAGCAGCTTCAGATATTAGAATGTGTCATCAAGACCGGATATATTTAAACCTTGAAGACATATTTGATAAAATACGTAATAGTATTAAATACATTTTTTCTTATTTACAAAAGAATTGTTTATTAACGAAGTAACTTCTTCTTATAACACTTTTTAAGAATATTCGAAACTTCTTTACAGACGTTGGAGTAAAATTAAAATACTTTTTAAATTGTACCTCTAAGTACGCGATCTAAATGAAATCTCTACATTTTTAAATAGAAATAAAAGTTTTATAATAGTTAACATCATCATTCATTATATGATCATGGTGTGCTATATATCTTTTGGTTTTAGTAGGAAATAATTGAGGTGGAATCTACTTGAATATATTTCTGTAGTAGGGGTGTTGACATCTATGATAATAAAAGCTAAACAGCTTCAGTGGTGGCATTTTAGGTTAACTTATTAGTTGTCAAATTATTTGAATAGCAAAACATTCCCTAAAATAGGCATAAAATTATTAAATAAAAGTAAAAATGATTGAATCGCCGCATTACAACAAGAGTTGTTTAATTTGTAAAAAAAGTGATAGAGTGTTTTCAGTTTCGTATCGCAGTGGTGTGTATAGTGTAAAAGATGATATTGCCGAATTCATGGGCCCAAAGGTAATACTTCTTAATAAAACATGTTACTTGTTGTTATATTCTTTATTATATTTCAGGTAGAATGTATGTTAAATGACGACGACGTTGTATGTAATAATTGCATGAATATCTTTTATAATATAGCTAATTTAAAACGTAAAATATATTTTATCATATGCCAACAAACAGAATGCAAAAAAGATGGAATTGACAGTAAATTTGATAACAAGGCTTTTAAGTTTAGCAATATATGGGAGTCGTTCATTTCCAATATCAGTTTAAGCATTCCTCATGATTGTGAGAGTCAAATACCATCACAAGACTTATGGGTAGCAAGATACTCAATTCCTGTTATAGAAGGTATGTAATTTAACACTAGCCTAACAGTAGGTTTATAATTGCATAAAAGTTTTATGTTAAAGTTGATAACAAATTACTATAAACAGTATTAAGTAAATTCCAGAGAATGCAAATGGGCAATGATACAAGAATTATTAACTGTAACAACATTCAAAATTGTAAATATTTTGAATCATTTTCTAACTAATTTGTACTTGTGTTATATATTTCTGTAGTATTTTGTTTTTGATTTTAGTTTACACATTTATTTGTTTATACTAATTTGAACTATTTTCAAGAAATACTTTTTATTGCAGACACCTCAAGCCGTTTAAATTATCGGTCTGATACACCTTATGCTGATAAAGAAGTAGAAAAAGTATTACAGAAGCAGAAAAAACGACGAAAAAGAGGGAAAGGGAAATTGTTTACACACAGAAAGGCTTCAAGACGATCTAAATCTGAGGGAGTCTTGGTGCCTTCTAGAGCCAGTACACTATATCACTTAGATTATTTATCACCCTATTATGATAGTTGCCAATCTGAAACAAGTCGACCTACATCTGCTTCTTCTTACCAGTCTTTAGTGAGACCCCAGTCTCGTTTGAGTACAGGGAGCGATTTTGACGACGGTCTGAGATATGAAAACGGTTGTCTCAGGAACAAAAGAACAAGGTCTGTTAGCCGAGCTCAAAGTGAGCAAGTAAACAGATTGGCTTTGAAAGAAATATACACTTGTAGTGAACAGCCTTGTGATTCCGTTTTTTTTCCTACTCTCAATGATCTCACTCAACACAAAGTAGATGTCCACCACAGAATGGCCCTGTATTATTGCGATGAATGCAGGTCCAAATATACTACAGAGTAAGTCCTGATTCAAAACTCTATCATTAAATTAAAGACTGAAGACCCATAAGCCAAAGATCTTATATTGTTTGTCCAGATTATTTCAGTAACAAGATTAATTGAATTTGTTAAAGTTACTAAAGCAGTTTTGTTCTAGGGAAGACTTGAGAAAGCACAATATTCTCTATCACAGCTTCTTGCCAACAAATTGTCCCTGCTGTTCAGAAGTACAGGCGAACACGATTGAATTGCAGGCTCATTTACAAGAGCACCTTTTTCATTCAGTACCTTGTATATATTGTGATAAGTCATTTCTAACGAGACGAAAGTGTGACGATCACGTAAAAGAAATTCACAGGGGTAGAAAGAGACGAATTCGTTTAAAAAGACCGCGTTCAATCCTAGACAGAATAGTTAAAGACAGTTTTTATAGTGACACGGAGACGCCCTGTCAAGAAGTGCAAAGTAACGACGAAAATCAGTTTATTAGGGTCAGAATTCAGAAATGTGATAATAACGAGAATGAGAACAGTTGCAGCTGTCTTAAACATAAGTAGTAAATGGTATAAAAACTTTTTTATTATCATTTGCTTTTTATTTTTTTATTTTCGTTCCTCAAGTTTTATTTTATCTTCATTCAAAAGATAAGCCCAAACTCAAACGTTATAAGGTAATAAGGGTAAGCTAGATATCTGACTGTATTTTTTGGATAAATAGACAACTATCAAGCTAGTGAAATTTTAATTCAATTAATACCTGAGGTATTCTTGAAAAATACCTATAAAAAGAGCATTTAAATGCAAATTGGTTCTTTTGTTTATAAAAAATTGTGACATCAAGAAGAAAGTTTTCTCTATTAAATACATATTAAATCTTTATTAATATCAAGTTTCTGAAACTTTCAGTGTTTTAGTATTTTGATGATAGCTGTTTATCTTAAAAATACCAGTGAAATGTCGAACCGGGACTGATTTCCTATAGCCTTTTCAATTATCCGTATGTTTATTTTAATAATATCGAAATAAAGACTGAATTCATTTTTAATTATAGGTAATTCATCCAAAGACATAATTAAAACCAAAATAAACTGATTGTAACGTCGAATTAAAAGTGTTTACTTACGATTAGTGTAATAATATAATAAATTTATGATAGCAATCTAAACAGTTAAACGCAATTGTTACTAAAATCATTATATTATATAAGTAATTATAAAACTCCCAGTATTTTAAATAGGGCGATTCAAACAAAGATAATGCTTCAATGTTTCTCTACAAGGCAATTACTTTTTATCCTGTTTTAACATGAATATCTAATTTAATTTATTTGTGAAATTGTTTTCGTATCTATATTTTGTATATATATTTTTATAAATACACATTTAAAAACTTCAGTCAAATTGGATAATTTGTACAGGTCCCAAGACGATTTTAATAAGATAAAAGTACATGTATCAGGAACAAGGTAATTAAAAAAATATGGGGCCAATGAGAGTATAACAAAACCTCTCCTCCCCATAACAGCAAGTTGGATAACTTTTTTAAAAAAGCTTTTCATTAATTTTCGTATAGTTCTTTATACTTATTCTAATAATTCATAATATTTAGGATCACTACTAAGCTAATCTTCAAATTTCGCGCACTTTTGTATTACAAAACTAACAGTAGAGGTCGCTGTCTATTTTCAATTGTTACCTTAGTTTATGCGGTTTGTAATATTTGTATGCTGTGTTGAAAATATAAAAATTAATGCAGAATTGAATCATTAAGGTAAATAATTTCATTTTTATATTGTTAATTTGAAGTGTGTGTTTATTATACTTTTACTAATCTTTATGCTGTAGCCAATATTTTTCTGATAAATATTCATACTTAAATAGCATTGTTAAACGTGTGTCGCATAATTTTGTCAACGATGTATTTATTTTTAATTACAGAAGTGATATTGTATCATTTGAAAGGCTATTTTAAATATTCTAAATGTATCTGAATGATTTATTTTGCACGAGAATCTGTTTTTTGTTGTTGGTTTGTAACAACTAATTGTTAGGTTAGTTCTAACAATTTGACAACGAATTTTAAATTTGTTTTAGAGTTAATTTGTTAAAAATGGACAAAGGCATTATTAAGCCACTGTTTTCTCAACATTACAACTTAAAATGGACGAATTACACCAGCAATATCCTGCAAATGTTTGCGGAGCAATTTTCCAAAGAATCCTTTACGGATATAACTTTGGCTTGTGAGGGACAATATATTAAAGCCCATAAGATGGTGTTGTCTGCTTGTAGTCCATATTTTGAGGCAAAGAAATTGCAACATTTTGTATTGTAATTATCATAAAGTAATATTTTTTTATCAACAGGAGATGCTTAACATGTACTTAGTTCCTCATCCAATGGTTGTGATGAACGGAATTAAATTTGCTTTACTGAAAATATTAGTGGAGTTTATGTATCATGGTGAAGTTAAAGTAGCTGATGAAGATTTAAGTAATTTGTTGGAGTTGGCTGAACAGTTACAAGTCAAGGGACTTTGTAATGTTCGAAATAAAGATAATAAGGATAGTAAGCAAGAACTTGAACCTGAAGAAAACACAAGCTCAAACACAAACAATCGAAAAAGACGTAGAACCTCTACTACATCTGTTACTGAAACAGTTAAAGTTAATTAAAAGTTAAAAGACTTGCAATAGTTTTTTATGTTTCTTTTTTTAGAATCAAAACAATTCAAACCAAGGACATACAAATGAAGATAACATTAAATCAGTTGATGTGAGGACTACTAAACTGCTTAATTTTGCTGTAGACAATTAAATTTACTTTTTTACAGAAATCGAAAACAAATTCAAATGATGATAGAGATGAAATAAAGACTACCGAAACCAAACTGATTAAGACTGAAAAACCTTCTTGTAACCAATTGCAAGAAGTAAGTGATTCTTTCAAATCCAAAAACATATTTTTGGTGTTACCTATTTCTCATTGAATTGCAGACAACAGAAAACAAAACACCGAAAAGTTATAAGGTTGCTTCAGCTGATGCAGTACAAGAACAAAGAGTAAAACTTGTGCCTCCAGATTGTTTACATGAAACTTTAAAGATAAGAAGACCTCAAAATGCATTTATGATTTTCGCTAACGAATTTAGGAAAAAATTGGCTTCTGAAAATCCAAGTACTTATTTATTTGGAGATTGTTGTTTTTCTATTTTAGTTATTTTTTTTTCCTTTTTAGGTGAAAGTAATAAAGACATATCAGTACGTCTTGGTAATATGTGGAAAACATTGCCTGGCAATGTGAAAGCTATTTATTATTCTGCAGCTAAAAAGGCAAATGATGAACATAAAACCAAATATCCAGGGTAAAGTATTGGTAAAAAGCGTTAAAATTATGTAAAATGTAATTTTTAATTGTAGATACTACTATAGTCCAAAGGAGGCTCGATTAAGGAAAGAATTAAAGAGTTCGGTATTTAGAAAGAATAAGTCAATGGAGGCTTTACAGGTAGTTCAGTTAGTAATGGGTGATGTTAGTGAAGATACACCTCAATTAGTGTATACTGAGTGTGCGGATCCAGAATATGATGAGGTAAAATCCATAAAGACATAAACAATAACCACTTTTTGAGTAAAAATAAATAAACAAGTTAAATGTATTTTAAAACATCTGTTAAAAGTATAATTGATAATTGAAATTTATTTTTGCCAATTCTAATTAAATTGCAATCGTTATTTTTTAACTTAAAAATATTTCAGGTTGATTTTGTTCATGATATAAAAGAAGAAGAAGAGGAAATGTTAAATGTATGCGATTCAAGTACGTCTGTTATGAAAACAAACGCGTCACAGTAAAGTGTTTCTTTTTTAAATTACTTATCAGATTAACAGACGTTTACATTTGCACAGCAGCAGTATATCATATTAAAGCATATTGTGCAAATTTTGCAATTTTGTACCCATTACGGTTTTACTGCATTGTTCCTGGCGAGTTTGTTATAACACATTCATCACTTTAATTGCGATAGTTTTTACAATAATAATGTCGTATTATTTATATGATTCTGTAATCTCAATAATATTTTTCTATTGTTTTGTTTATTTTGATTACGTTGTTAGACTGATAACTTCTTTAACAATATGATGGCAACAAAATACATTAACTTTTTATAATTTTATTCTTATTTATTGATTCCGGGTTGATAAAAGTTTTTCCTTAATTTCCTTGATCATTGAGAGGCAAATGCATAGGACAGTAATAATAATATTATACAGATAATTTTTCACTTATCATGTGTCTATTTCATTTGTCTCTCCCCAACCACGACCTATCCATTCTTACCCATTCGTAAAAAAAGGCCGAAGAAGGGTTTCCGCTGTTCGCTCCAGCTTTGTACTAGAGTGAGGTTGGAGGAATTGTCAGCCCAACATTACTAGAAAAAAACTTTTAGTTTTATTGTTTTGTTAGTTTAATTTTATTCTTATTTATTTTAGTTTTTTTTTACATTGGGTGACTGATAGGAGATTAAAGAGTTATTTTTAACTTATATTAGAAATGTAATCTCCAAAATTTGTGTAGGTGTTGTTCCAATATTTTGGATCTCCCCTTTCGTCAATAGGCAGATTGGCCGGTGGTACCGCGGTGGAATTCAATTTCTGTAGCGCATGCTCCAACCATTGCAAAATGTTTGGATATCTATAAATATTATTGATAATAAGGAATAAGAAAGGAAATTAATCAAATAACATAATGCTCACAATGATGCTAAATTATTTTCTTCGCAAGGGTCTTCTGCTATGTTAAAAAGGCAGGGACTATTTAGAGGAAGACATTTGATCCTTTTTGCGGAATCGGCTGAAGTACAATTTAATTGGGCTTCAGATCTTAACTGGCGAATTTTTTCCGCATTCGGCATATTATTTTGACGAATCAGAACTTTTCCCGTTGGTGATTCGGCTATTTCTGTAATGTTATAATAATAGCCTTTTCTACCGGAAGGACCGTACCACGAATCCCATTGTCCTTTATATGTTGTACCTACAAAATGTGACATAAAATTGACCTACCCTTGCACTCCTTTTCCAAACAAACACACTAATTTTAATGAAGAGCATACTTATACTATGTAAAGTTAAAGTACAGGTTCCTGATGTCATGTGGACACTACAACGATGAACTTTTTCGATGTTTTTGGAGTTTTCCATACATGTAGACACGTTTCATTTAATAACACTTATGACCAGAAACTTCACAAAAATGCATGTATTTACCTTTTATAATTTTCCAATCTCCGAATGAAAGTGATGCCACCCCCTCTATATCGTCAATATAGTGTAGCACTTCAATTCGGGGCGATTCTTTGTTATGTGACAAGGAATTCCATAAGTCTATTCCATCAATACTTTTCAAAACACTGCAACAAATATCTTATGAGAAACCCAGTACATTATAATAATTAATAAAATATAAACATGCCTTGTGCTTCCACCACCAGCGGTCAAAAGTGTAGGTAACCAGTCTGTTATGTGAATTTTTTGAGTAGCTACACGTTGCGGCTTGGCGATTAGAGGACTCCAAACTAGTCCAACTCCCCGAACTCCACCCTCCCACGGGGTGTTTTTAGTGCCCCTCAGGGGCCAATTAGACGCTGCGTTTATATTGAAACCCGCAGCTGGGCCTCCGTTGTCGGTAGAGAATATCACAATAGAATTGTCCAACATCTCATTTCTTTCTAGGGCTTCTATTACTTCACCAACAGAGTCGTCTAAATGTTTCAGCATTCCTTCAACAAGATGATAGGGTAGTTTTATTGCGTTTTGGGGATTTAATGATAATCGTCGAAAGGACCCCTCCTTTGAACTGATTCGGTATTCAGTTGATTGGTACAGATTTTATTTATTTGAAATATGTGTACGCAAATAATTTTATTTTACCTGCAAATCGTCGCCTATTAGAATTTTTAATATAATTGAAATTTGCAACTGTATCGTTCGGTGCAGGGAGAGGGTCGTAGGGATTTCCCGAATGAACAGCTGCGTGTGCAAAATATAAAAATAGCGGATTCGTTTTGTTATGATTATCAATAATTTTAACTGCTTCTTTAGCAAAAATATCGGTGCAGTATTGTCCACTCAAATCCCACGCTACGTCCATATTTCTTCGCATATCCAGCCCACACATCCCTTTTTCCATTGCGGTGTGGTCGAAATAATCTTGATGACCTGTCCAGAATCCTAAAAGAAAGCCACGAACATATTAATTCAAGTTAAATAAGTTTTGGCGGGGTTGAGCGTTTCAGGTTGCCTATTCTTTTTACTCTAACTTTATGAGTTGATAACTTTCAAAGGGCGTATTGTTAGGTAAAAATTATTATGGAAATAAAGAGATATTAGTTCAGAGTTTATATTACATGTCACAAAATTGCTAATAGACATTTAATTTATTACGAATTTAATCTTAAAGGGTATATATCAAATGCTACGTGTATAACTCTTGCGTTAGTACGGTTGCATAACTATACGTGCTGGAAGGGGTTGAATATGAACTTTTTCGGTCAAAAATATGTTCTTATACATATCTTCGACTCTTCATTTTCTTACCTAAATGGCTTAAGAAGCCTCTATAGAGTGGCGTATAAACTTTTTTATATGAGCCCAAATGCCATTTTCCGACGATATGCGAAGCGTATCCCAAATCGTTAAGATATTGGGGAAGTATTTTCTCTGATAATGGTAGACCTCGAGGTTCAGCGCCGTAGAGGACAACGTGTTGCATTCCCGTATGTATCGGATGTTTTCCGGTCATAAGGGCGCTCCGAGATGGGGTGCAGATAGGTGTGACATAATAGTTGTTTAAAATGATACCGGAATAAGCGAGGGCGTCCAAATTTGGCGTCGGTATCTGAGCGGAACCGTGAAAACCGACGTCGTTCCAGCCCTGGAAATTGAGAATATTAAAAGGGTCATTTTCATACTCATTTCGTTAATGTTTTTGTTATTTTTTTTTAAATTTTTAACCTTTAATTGCTTCAAAAAGGTTTTATAGATGAGATATCGTAAAAAAATTAAAAAGCTCCCGGTGTAATTTAGTATTTAAAATCATTTTTTATCAGGCTCGACATCTGTTTTTGCAATTTTTGAGTGGTGTTTAGAGCAGAGTGTGTTAATACGAGGGTGGATTGATAAGTTTCCGGCCTAACCAAGAGATGACGCCACTAGGCCTACCTTGAGGTGACATTCTATAGTACCATCCTTGGATAGCTTGTAGCTATAGTTTCAGCCCGATCTCCTTGCTAGTGTAGGTTTGACAGCACGCTGAACAAGACGCCTCTGTGGTTTTCGTAAAAATGGAAAAGCAGGAAAATCGTGCTGTCATCAAATACTTTTATTTGAAGGGGTTAACGCCGAAGGAAATTAAAAAAGAGATGGACTCAACACTGGGGACATCCTCCCCGTCATATTCAACCGTTAAGCAGTGGGTTTCCGAGTTTAAAAAGGGTCGTGTGAGCACCTCTGATGGGCCTCGCTCAGGACGCCCCGTTGAGGTCACAACTCCAGATATGATCGAAAAAATTCATCAAATAGTGCTGGGAGACCGCAGATTGAAAGTGCGTGAGATAGCTGAGACCTGTAAGATGTCATATGAACGTGTGCAACATATTTTGCACCAACATTTGCATATGGAAAAGCTCTGTGCAAGATGGGTGCCGCGTTTGCTAACAGTCGACCAAAAATTGATTCGAAAAAACATTTCTACCGCAAATTTGTCATTGTATAAGCGTAATCCAAGCGAATTTTTGCGTCGATTCGTAACCGTTGACGAAACGTGGGTCCACCACTACACTCCTGAAACCAAAGAACAGTCTAAACAGTGGATTGGACCAGGGGAACCAACTCCAAAGAAGGCAAAAACAATTTTTTCGGCGAACAAGGTTATGGCTACTGTTTTTTGGGATGCAAGAGGTATTATATACATTGATTACCTTGCAAAGGGTAATACTATCACTGGTCAATACTACGCAGACTTATTGCAACGTTTGAGCCACGAGGTGAAAATTAAACGACCTCATCTGGCGAAGAAAAAAATCTTGTTTCATCACGATAACGCACCAGCGCACACGTCAATCGTTGCGACGGCTAAAATCAACGATCTAAAGTTTGAATTGATGCCGCACCCTCCTTACTCTCCAGACCTAGCCCCGAGTGACTATTTTCTGTTCCCTAATCTCAAAAAATGGCTTGGCGGTAAGAGATTTGCGGACAATGAAGAAGTAATCGAAGCTGTAAATGGTTATTTTGAGGAGCTTGACGAATCAGTCTATAGAGATGGCATTAATAGACTGGAACACCGCTATGAGAAATGTATCAGCCTTGGAGGAGATTATGTTGAGAAATAAAAAAAAAAAATTTTTAAAAACCTTGTTTTTCTTGGTCAGGCCGGAAACTTATCAATCCACCCTCGTAGATGCATCCCTGTAAAAGCATTTCCTTATTGTCAACGACATATTTTATCAAAGCCGTTCAATTAAAATTAAAAACGATCTCCATTAGTATTCATGAACTCCATGGCGTGAATAATTGACTTGGACAATTCGGATGGGGAAGGAGCTTGGGGGTTACAAGGGTGAACGTAGGCTAGACACCTTGGGCCTCCACGGAGACAGTGATGTAAATGTAAATGCATGTTCTACGGACGTAATCCAATTCGATCAGTAGTTTGATTTCATTATTGGTTTATAACTAAGCTCATGCTACTCCTGGTTTGTAATTAAATGAAATTAGTGCAAAAATCGGCTAAATCTAATAAATGAACGATATGACGCTACTTTTAAACATTTTTAAAATTTGAAGTATTTATGGTGCATTAAAACAATACATGTTAAAAATTGAATAAAACAATATTCATACCAAATCATCGGCCAAAATAAATATGATATTTGGACGTTGTTTCCCATATGCACAAAGAATTACTAGAGCACTTATCACAAGAAACCTTTTTAAGAATAGTTCTTGAACGTTTGCGATCATTTTCACCTTACACAAAATACATTTTTTAAAAATAGCATATTTAGTGACGCAGAATTTGTTGCTTCCTCGGAATCGCTTTTATGCAAGCACCTGTACGCCTACAAAAATTCAGCAAATGCTGCTGCGATGATGTTAAAAGGCAAAAAAGTTGCTAGAGTGCTACAACCGTTTGAAGGTTGTTAATAATAATTTGTCTATTAGCTTTTGTTGCACTGGATAAATGTGTGATTAAATAGCCTCTGGGCGCACTGAATTAAAACAAATAGATATTAAAACCTTATTTACAATTGGGGTCATACAATAACAGTGGCGAAAGGTCATCAATCGTTTTGTTTATTAACTCCTGGTATAGAGAAGTTAATAAACAAAATGAATCAAAAATTTCAACGTATCTGTATTCACATTTCAATTGATTTTACACTGTTATGGAAAAGTGTGTGTGTGTGTACGTATTTCCATGAGCGACGTGTGTTGTTATTATTTTCTTGCTCAAGTTGCAAAAAAAATGAGATGTCTTTTTTCGTAAAAGCAATAAGACTACAGAAGAGATAGTAACTTTTTTACTTTTGAATTGTATTCTTTTAATGGCACCAGTTTAGCTATAGAAAACAATTTGGTTTTTTATGTTCCCAATTGGTCACAATAAATTGGAGTACGTCTTGTTGTCTTAATTTTTTTAGTTAATTATGAGAAAATATTTAGACTTTTCTTAAACTTAAACTCATCTGCTTTTCGATGCCAAAGCTTTCTAAACCTTCTTTGTTGTGGTCTTCAAAATTCAAATAGGTATTGGCCAACGATAAGAGACGCTAAGAACTTTTGTGATCATTCCACGGACCAACCACTCTTACGTAGAAACGGACGAGCCTGTTCCAACTACTACAAATTCTTACTTAAGCTTCCTTTTGTTCTTACACCCGGCTGACAATCGAATTCCTTGCGTTGACGACGTAAACTCAAAAGTTTTCGGGGTGCAATGAATGGCTCGAGTTCTTTTTCTATCTAACTCTGAACTGATGGCGTGTCTTAATCAGAACTTTATTATTAGTACCTACAGAGAAAAGGAACGACTGCATACCGTGCAAGTTTTTAAACTTCCGCATTTAATTTTTCATCTAATTGTAAGAAAGGAAGGGCGAAGATGCTTGGCCAATTCAGACAAACAGATTTATGTGAAAGTAGTTTTCACCCTGCAATATTTTCGTAGACTTTGCTTGTTGGTACCCAGAGAAAATATTCTGTTGAAATGCAAACTATTAGTGACAGGTTGTTAATGAGAGCTGCGGAACTGCAGAACACAAATGTTCATCTTCTCCTTTTAAATCCCTTTTCTGCTTTCTAATATGGCTCTAAGTAGCCCTTCATGTCTGGGAAGGTGTAAGTACTACCAACTTATTTCGCCTATTTTTTTTCGATTTCCCTAACGCCCTCTGTTCTCCTAAATTTTTGTAATTCCTCCTCATTTCTGAGATTTTCTATACACGATAACACACTCTGCTATAACACCATCATCAATTAAAATAAGACAAGAGCCAGGTAGATGATCCAGGGGTTCTTCTTGGACTTTCGGGACTCAAAGCATAAATTTTTTAGGGGTAAAAAATAAAATACGAAATATGAAATTCGTAAACGTAAATAATGCGCAATCTTCATTTTTACAAGAAAAGTGTAACTGGAATGCGGAATCACTTGCGGAACAAAATGCATCACTTGCATGACCTTATTAGATCCGCTTTTGATTGAACCACTCTAAAGAGTGAAATTTGAGCGTCCAAATTTGAAAATTTGTTAAAGAGGACTCGAAATTATGAATCATTTTTTTCTAGTTCTCGAAAACGTTTTTACATAAATTAAAATTGGCTTGAACTAATGTAAAGATTGCAAAATTTGAAAATGGATGCTGAAAAACTATTTCGAAAAGGTACCTGCCGCGCCTTTTTTCCTTGAATGTTGTTTCATTTCAATGAAAAACTGATGTTATTGTATTTTTACAGATAAACCAATTAAGGACTTGGGAGACAGTTCAAACTATGGAGGTGTGTTGACTCGGTAAGTTTTTAATTTCGTTTCTTTCTAGAAGTTTGCACAACACATACAATAATCAATGAGTATGCGTTGTCATTGGAAACTATAAAGTTTTCATTTCATAAAAGTGGATTATAGGTACCACTTGTAAGTAATTTATTCGCTTTTTACAAAACTTGGGCAGAATAATTTGATTCTGTTTGAAAAGCTGGGACCGTGGTAATGATGATAGTAGAATAGGAATGGCGACTAACATTGTATCCTCATAAAACCACTCGAACCAATTCGTTCTGTCATTGTGCAATAGACTTGAAGGCGAGCGAAAATAAATTTTAGTCGCAGATAATACGAACGCAGAGTAACTCGAAAGAGTAATTCATTTTCTTCGAGAAAATTAAGTTAGCCAAACTCGGGAGTTTGCGGACGCGAATGCGCCCCCGTACACCCCTCGACCACGAGAGGCTTCGTTTAAGTAGCAAAACGAGACATAAACTCAAAACTCTATTATATAACGCTTTTTTGCCATTCCTAGAAAACAACAACGTTATGATTTATAGCTGTTGTTGTGGCAAAGTCGAACTACATCAGCGCTAACTTTTGTATCTCAGATCCAACACAAAACAGATGCCGTGTGGTGTACTTCTACATTTTAGTATTGAAAATACTGTTGAGGTCGTATATATGGAATCCATCTCATGAAAAACAATCGTCCAGCGTCAAATCTAACGGTCGATCAGGGTCTACATGTCACAATGTAAAGAAACTCAAAAAGGATAAATATTTGATGATTGAAAAAGATCGATGTGTTGTGTCTGAAACGTCGTGGTCTAGACTCGTTTACATAGTTGGTTTAACTAATGGAAATTCCTAAAAAGGGTTATTTTCTGCCAATATGACTTTACACTAACGTTTATAGATAGAGGTCTATTACGAGAAGTTTTAACAAATGTGTTTGATGATTTTCAGTATTAAAAATTGTCACCAGTTCGTGCAAGATCATAAATAATAGGTACAATTATCATCAGGATACTCATTCAAAGGTATATATATTACACACGGTTCCATATGTATGGTATACATATAGGGATGGGGCTTAACACAAAGCTTGATTTATGCCTAAATTTGGCCTTAATTTATACTATATATCTCTCTGCTATGTACATTAAACATACATAAATGTGAACACATATACATGTATGTTTGTACAGATATTCATTTTACGTGTGTATCTAGCACAGAATCGGTTGTCTACTATGTAATACCTAAATCAATCCAATGTCGGGAATCCACTTGGCTATTAATAATAGATAGAAGGTGCAAATATTGTCAGAAACAATAATCTAACATTTAGATTCATCATTTTTCAGAAATTTAATTCTTTTTAAAATAGTATTTCTGTCTGCACCAAGAATAATTTTCGACTTTCTACATCGTGTATTTTCACGTGAAAATAATTCTAAATATCCGCAAATGAAATATTCGGAAAATTCGCCTTTCGCCTACAACAACGTCAAGCTAATGAACTAAGACACTTTAGGGTCGGGATTATTTACACCTTAGTTCGTTCGGTGGCATTCAAAATTAATTGTCAGCAAAATTTCCTAATTTGCAGAATATAATTCAACTTGTCGCGAGCGTGAACGGTTTCCCTCTTAGAGAACCCAACGAATTTCCTTTTATGAACAACTCCCGTGGTTAATACATTATATAATATGGTAAGGGTAATTATGGAAATGGAATTTTTAGTGATAATTTTATGAAACAATTTTTTAATATTTAATACAAAGGAAGATCTATTAATCAATTTTGTTCAAACATTTCAATGTTTTGGGATTGGGGATCTAAACACTCAGTGGTTTATGATAAAATTCATAATTCAATACCTATGCTTATTAAGGTTCTTTATCCCTAAAGGAGAAAGCAATTTTCATAAAATCATTTATGTGCTATGTGGAAATTTGAAACTTGTGGATCAATATTATTGATTTCGAAAAGGATTCAGAGCCCTTGACTACGTGTCTGCTTTAAACGTAACAATTATAGGCGTTTGTAAAATGTAAAATAAATCAAAATTGCAATCTCTAAAACTTCCAGTTTTGTTCATCGAACATATTTAAAATTATTTGTCCATGGTTCACATTTTGACTACTCTTTAGCTGAGTATATTTTTTCATTACTCTTATTTTGAAATCTGCCAACAAAATAATTGAATGAATACATGAAGTTTAATTAATTCCGTTGCCGTCTGAAATAACGGGGTAGGTAGATATAGTATGTGGGTAATTTTTTTGCAACAAACTGCCGAGGTGGTCGTACCTGAACCGTGTATAATCTTCCTCGTTTCCCAAAGGGACAAATAACTTGTACAAACTAATGCTTTGTCGCATATTCAACAGCTTATTTGCATGCCACGGCGCGGCGTCGGGACGCGTGTGGACGCAAACGTTCGTTGACGAGCCCGTTTCAATACATGTTAATTATGTGGCGGCGGCGTCACACCGACGCCGGGACAACGACGTCTGTGTCGACGATGTTGTCCGATGGTTCATCCCACTTTTCCAAGATAAATTACCGCTTGTTTGTGTTGTTGCTTTTATCGGTGAAATAGGGTGAGAGGGGGTTTGTTAACTGGTTAACATACAATATTACATCCCTTCCTATTAAATCTTTGTGTTATTCCCTCTTTAGATTTAAAGAAATCCTTATCATTAGCTATATTTCTGTATAAAAACATTCGTTAAACCAATATTGGAAAACGTATATTTTCTTTTTTTTTAAAGAAAAAGATGACAAGAGGGCACTTGGGTCCAATAGTTAAACCTTTGATAAGTGAATGTATACGTTTTTCCAAGTAAATAATCCTTCTTTTTGATTATATTGTATTTTGAAAGGTTCGTTAACGTTTGGAATTAAAACATTCAAATAATTACGTGTGCACATTTATATTTAAACAAAACTATTATTCTGTGGGACTATAAGTATATTGTAAACTGGTGCATGACGTAAAATTTACTACAAATACCGCTTACATTGACACTCTGTACTAATTTAACGTAGTTTATGAGTATAAATGAAAATGAACAATATAGGGAGTGATAAATACAAAGTAAATAGCTTTCTTTATAATTCTCCCTTTTTAGTTTTTTACTCATTTACGTATTTGACGATTTAACATTCGTTCTTCCTGTTCAGACGTCTGTGTAGTTGGGTCAATAATAAATATATCACTTCTTGAGGGTTAAACGGATTTTCATAAGTCATAAATAATTCGTGAAAGTGATACTCTGATCAGCCTTAAGCACAATGTATCGCATAACTTACAGTTTATTGAAATTGTTTTTAATAACCTTTTTGACTACCCTTTCGAAACTCAGACCTTTTGGGTTACAAAAAGTCTGTTTTTTTCATCGTAATTTAATTGTGGATTAAATACATTTTTGGAGTAGGTAGAACAGAGGTGGCTAAAGATCAATTCATTAGAAAAAAACATGTACTTTCAGTCATTACCAAGAGTAACAATTGTATAATCGAAATATGTAATATAATTGAGTGCTAGAAATAAATAATTTGATGAAATTACGAAATGTGTTTCTCACTATTACTTTTATTGTGTTCTTTAAATCTAGCGTCAAAGAATCGTCCAGTTTGCCCTATTACAAATTCTACTATTATGTCAGAATTGTAACCATTTGGTTTCACAAATTTAGCCCTATATAGCACTGTATAATTATTATAATTTCTTACATGCTCCACATTATAATATTATGAAATAGGGCTCTACAATATTTATGTAAATTAAATGTAATGTATTTATGCCAGGGATTAGTTAAAACGATTCTTCTGCTCCCTTTTCTGTAGCATGTAGATACATATGTCCATTTAATCTGCTAGAGTCAGTGAAAATGGTCACATCTGTCGTTGATAAAAAGTTGTATGGACAGTAATCTGTTTCAATAGATTCATTTCAAATATTGACTAAAAGGATTTTTGTTGTTCAAATATTTCTCAAATGATATGTGTATATTGCGTTATTGAGAAGGGGTAGCATTGCAGGGCGTCTGAAATGATACAGAGGCAATTTATATTCCCTCAGATTTGTTTAGAATACTAATAGAAACTTTTTATAAAAATTAGTAGGAACGGTGGAGTTCAAATAAATAATTGAATGTGAAAATTTGATTTTGGAGTTTTAATAAAGTTTCGTTTAATTTAGACGAAACGCTGAAGTTTTCTAATTAAAATAAATGAAGGTCCAGTCAAGTCGAACATAAACTAGGGTCCCATTAAATTAGATTGAATTCGAGAATTTGAGTAATGATACGCCTAATTCTGTCAACATGGTTACGCGTTTCTGGCTTTGCCCTCTCTGATTGGGGACCGATTGTTACCCTGACGCGAACGGGGATGAGGACGGATGGGGTACTGTCACCTCTTGTCACAATTTGGGGCATACGGCATGACTAACATGTATGATTTGTATAATCAGAAATGTTCGACTAGTTTTAAGTTATTGTTTTGAATACAAAAGAGTTACAAATGCTCAATGAAAAATGCAAGATTCAAACATTTTTTTTGGTGATGTTTTGATCATTTTAATCCAAAACAACTGTGTGATAATGTTTTTGTACGAGGTCATTTTTTCTTTATTATAAAACAAAAATAACAAATTAAGATACTAAATAACAAGACCTTTTAAAACGAATGAAAAGCCTTTTTGGTCCTGTCGGGGATCAAAAATGGAATTTGTTGTTATATGTATTTTCCTAATTAATTTTAAACACGATTAACTTCTCGAAACTGCAAGCAGTTATGATTTTTCGATAACATCGTTTAGTTTATCTTGTCAATTCATCCAATAGGCAGCCATATAGCCAAAATCCGAAATCTAGCCTATTAATTTGTGAGGTACAAATTTGTCTACGTTAGGTAATTTAGGGTAACTGGTGGTGATATTAGTACACACACATCTGAAACTGTAATTGCTTTACATACAAGGACAGTGTCAGTGCTGTGAAATGCCCCCAGTTTAATGCAATTTAGTGCTTAGGTGACCAAATGTGAAAATGATTATCAAGTCTATTAACCACAGCTAACAGGTGTAATTGTGTAATCTGTAAATTGATCATAATTTGATTAGATCTTATTGATGGACACTAGTTCTTTAATCTAAAATATTAAGAATTATTAAACTTTAAATGAAAATGTAGAGCAATTAGTTAAAAAAAGATATACAAATGAAATATCCTTGGGGAAAAATGGTCCTTTATCTTATTTTGTTGTTTATAGACTACTGATATTTAAGTTAATAGAAAAATATAAACTGCACACGTAATGCTTCTTCATGGAACTTCATTTTTCCTATTTAATTAATGAAGGCAGCTAAAATGTTGATATTATATCATTTTGTTGTTAATAAACACCCTGTATATAATCAAATATGCACCTACATGTTCGTTCGTTTAATTTTGAAACTTTTTAAGTCATTCGCAGCAAACTAACTTTATTTTCAACTGATTCAAAATTTTAGAGAAACTTACAATCAGTTAAAAATGTTATTTTGAATCAAATGTCTCTTCAAAATTGAATTTTCCAAAAAGCTTTAGCTTGCAGAAGGAACATTATCCTTGGCAACAGTGCACGAAGCTTGAACGCTGTCCAGTCTGAATCAGCTGTTACAGTCTGCAATAATTCTAGGTTATTAACACTTGTTTATAAATTTATTCCTTGCAAGTTACATTCAAAACAAAGAAAAGTAAGAAAGGAAGACTGTGACAAGAATAAATGTGCAAATTCAGCTCACAAACAATTACATAATAGACATCATCTTCATAAATGCACTGAGGTATGTACTCATCAGAAAGATATTATAAAAATGTAGTGTAGGATTCTAGTTAGGATTTTGTACATTAATATATTTAGGTAGCCCTATAATTGTAAATAAAATTTCAGATTTGTTTTCCAAATCATCCGTTTTTAGTAAAATTTGACCTCACCTAACCTCAAAATTTTTAACCTTCATAAACAAAAGCTTAATTTATTTAAATAGATTTATAAAACAATTGCAGTGTTAAATTATTGTCCCAACCGTCTCTTTATAGTCATTCAGTAATTCTTCATAATTCTGCATAAGAGTTGAACAGTTTAAGTAAATCATTGATGTCAGCAAAGACAGCAAAAGGTAGCAACTATTTTGGTAATTCTTTTATTTATTTGCAATCACTTTTGAATGTTAATACTTATTAATTAAATGCAACAAGATTTTGAACCTGGTTGTGTTTTTTGTGGGAGTGATTTTGTATATTAACTAATGATACTCATTAGGGGAGCTTTGCATTGTTTTGCAACTTGCAAAAGCACAAAGAATAAACATTTCGGTGGAGATTTCGGACAAATAGAGTTGGTATAATATTATTTCAGTCAGTAGTTCTTTTCTTTAATCTTTTTATTTAAACTTCATTCAGGCAAATGTTTGTTTAGGTGGAGAAAAGCCCATGATGAGTTCTTTCCTCTATAAATACAATTAAAGTGCTTTAAGATGTAGCAATTGTGATGCAATGTTTCCAAATCGCAAAATAATATTTTATTGTGCGTCATTGGATTGCAACTCCAAAAATAGTACTTAGTAGATACTGCCTAATATATGTCTATTAAATTTTATTTTAAACCCGAGAATTAGTACTATCGTTTGCCAATACTTTACATATACCATTTCATTAATGTATTTATATAAAACTAAACTTTTTTAAAATTTTTTTTTTGAGAAATTTTGTTTTCTAACTAATAGCTACATTAGTGTGATTGCATAGTTTTTATTCTTGTTTGTCGTTTAAATTTAATTTTTATAATTGGTATGGAAGATTAATTAATTTAACTTTATTAAGTGCATTTGTAACATGATCGATTTACTTATAAAAAGTTTAAGTATTAAAAAAAGGCGTTGCAATTTCGAAAAGCTCACTTATCGTTTGTAATTATAGCTTTGCATTAAGTTTAACTTCTCGAAGAACCTTCTTAAGCCGATCGTGTTTCTTAGGGTAACTGACACCGTTCAGATTATGTGTAATTAGCTGTGTTATGTCTAAATGTCACGTTTGATATTTGTTTTCGTTTCTGGAAGTTTACGATTATATTTAGGTACCGAACTGGACCAACGCTTTACGGCTTTTTCCTGTTTAATAAAACTTAAAACTCATTAACGTTTCCTAAGGCGTTTAAGAACAATTCTGTATGAAAGAAATATTTTATCAACTAACAACTTTCTTTGTTCTGAAAATTAAAATTCAAACTCACGACAAGTAATTTAGGGGATTTTTTAGTAGACTATACTCTGTAGTCAAAGCGAAGTTATAATTTTTTGAAAAAAACACTTAAGGATAAATCACCTTTCTGAACAACTAGTTAGTTAACAATAGAAGAGAGGAAGTCGAGGAAATTTTTAATGAAATAACTATACATAAGGTACGCAATTTCATTTTACCAGAAACTTATTTGGTACTTTTAAAAAGATGAGCAATAGTTTTGAAATGACGCAAAAGTTTGATCAGTTTTGATTATTTACTTTTGGAGGATTTGTCGTAGTGATAGTTATGTCGATTAATTATTATCAAGTTTTATTAATTATACAAAATAATCAAAAAATCATTAATTTAATAATTCGTTGGTAAGTATAACGTTAGGTGGCGCCATATAGTCCCTTTGGGAATTAAATATATTGGTTCGCATATACTTTCATTAATATACAATTTGAAAACTTAATATTTCTAAATCTTTGTCTTTATTGTTAACCTGATACTTTGTTTAACTTTTTTGCAAGTTGAATAAAGACATAATTGCAAAATAATATACGACGTGTCTCATAATTGCGTATGTATAGGAGCAGTTATTAAACATTCTCTTTACAGTAAATATTTTAGTTTTTTAACCCTTTTGTACCACAATGTATACAGGATGTTTCTGAAATAAGTACCAAGCTTTGGAGGGTGTTAACTAATGCTATATGGAATCGCATGATACATAAAAAAGCGCGATTAAGGGACAAAAACATTTGCAAGAAAACCAGACGAAGTTGCAATCCTAAGCCGGTCCTTTGCGTGAATTGGGAACGTATAGAAAAATTGCTATAACAATTAAGCAACTACTTGCAAAATGTAAACAATGACTGTTGTTGAACTACTAATAAAGTAAATGACAACAGCTTACTATTACGCTACTACACATAATAATCTTTAGAAACCCATTGCGATAATAATTAATTAAATAATTACTTTGTTCATCGCTGACAGTATGCAGTACTATCTGAAGTACAACTCGACATGGTATTAAGAACAGAAAATGCAAAAGAAATATGTACTCGTACAACATGAATGCTGCAGCTGCTGCGACGTCGTATTTCCCTGCCAGGGCCGGACTGTACTTACAAATACGATTTTCTCGAAAACGGCACACTTTCGGATCGCCAAACGTTTACTCAATTTTGTTATTTTGTAGTGTCCTACGACCTCCTACAAGCTTGCTACTTATTTTAGAAACATCGGGTATTAATTATGGTCACACGATTGTCCGAAACACTTGTCCGCATGTGCCGGTACATCGCTGTGGTATAGAGGTACGAAACATTATTTTGTTTTTATAAACTGCATTATTATGTTTATTTTCTGCTCTACTATTTGCGGTAATGCATATTTATTTGCGAGTCGTGTAACGACAACTTGCGCCGCTAAAAATTTATTTGCCGGGGTCATAACATCGCATAAATGCAAAATAGCGGAATGATATTGGGGAGGCGGAATTCACATATTCAGTTTCATGGAGAGGTTTATTAAAATTTAATGCCCCCGCTGTTCCCGCTTTGCTCTCTTGTTCACATACATTAACTTTCGGTCGTAGACAAAATGGCGAGAAACTTAAGGACGCCTCGCAATTTGTGAAATGACATACTGGAATATACCACACAAATAATGCCGTTCTTAAAGCGGTTGCTTTACGCAAACGACAATCGGGGTGAATGGGGGATTGTTTTTCTTTTTTATTTTTTTAATTTGCATAAAAAACAATGTATCTACAGGTACATATATTCCTACAATTCTTTAGTATGATCGGAAAAAAAAATCAGAGGGTAAAGTACCTAATATTTATTGCTTTAGCATATTGAAATTTTGAAAAATTCTAATTTTAAAACTAAATAAACCAAGTAAGGAAATAAGAATTTTGAGGCAAAGATTGAAAAAAAGCACGCGGAAATGAGTTCTACTGGAGGGATAAAAATTATTTCGGATAAAACCTTTACCCCAAAAGGCAAAACGTTGTTGTTGGTTTCAAAATCAACTGTTTTTTTTGTCCTTATCTCTGATTTTGTACATTACTCGAATGATATTATGTTTGCAAAGATTTGAATAGTTAATTAAGGCTTTGTGCAAATGAGAATAGTGGTTGTACCTCATATCGGATTCGAAATGTATTTTGAGGAAACATTCAATGCAAACTACATAAATTAAGTGGTTAAAGTTTGGACACCTCTAAGTGCCCGATGTTATTAGTAGATTTGCAATTTCGGAATAATTCCGGGCAAAATTATCTTTGGCAATTACAATGCGAATTAGGAAATTCTTGTTGCAAATGACTTGCGGTATTTGATTTATTTTTATTAAGGATTTAAATAATAAACGTCAGTATCAAATCATATAATCAGGATGCGAAGTTTTGTTAATATATTTAAAGAAAACGTAAAGGTGTCCAACTGAATTTTCATTGTTTACGGTGAACTGATAATAAATTTTATACTGATTAATAGTTAAAATGCTTTTATTGGCAATGGTACAAATCTCGACTTGGTCATTCCCTAAAATTTCGTCCGTCTCATTTTGCATCGTTTTTTGCACGATTCTAATTAAAATTTTTTGACGCATGAAAAGTTAAGGTAATTGTTGTAAAATTCTCTCACAAAATTCTCCCTTGTTTGGTGAGACCACAGCCTTATTTCGTTTTTATGGAAATTTTCCCCGTCCCGTAAATGTGGCTAATTAATTTAAACAAACGACCTGTAACCTTTGACCTGCATATATTAAAACGTCCGTCTATACTTGCACCCTATCTTGATGTCTATATGCATTATTAATTATTATATTATATTTTAATTGCTATAGGCTTTCATAGGTAGAGTTAATATAATTCCATCCAAAACTTTTACAAAAATATTATGGTCTAAGTTGGTTGATAATTCTACCAGACGTTTCGTCATTAACTGTGCATGACATCTTCGTTGGTTTGCTGTCGGAGTATTCTATTCAACAGCAAGCCTCCGAAGATGTCATGTACAGTTGATGACGAAACGTCTGGTAGAATTTTCAACCAACGTAGACTATATATCATATTTTGTAAAGTGTAATAAAATGGGTCGTAGCGAGATGGAACATAAACTCTATCCCGAGATAAAAATGTTCAGTCCCTCAGAGTCTCTGAAAGCAAGACTCGAGTCTCCATCTCTCATCGAGTCTCTCTGGTGTCGCTGAGAGAGACTGTCTAAAAAGACTGTTTAGCGTCTCTGAACGAGAGACTCGAATCTCTAAATTGACAATTTTATCGTTCGAGTCTCTCATACAGAGACTATGAGAGATCCATAAAAATACCTAGGCAATAACTGAGAGACTGTGAAAGACTATGAGAGACGCTGAAAGACTCTGAGAGACTGGTGAGAGACTGAAAAGTTTTGTGTAGGGATGTTATACATTGAAATTATACATTTTAATTCGTTACAATTTTAAACTTTTTGCTGTGGTTAGTTTTTGATGATTGGCTCTTGCACGAAATGTGCTTATCCATCAACCCGAGGATCCCCGTATGATC